ACAAATGTAGGGAAGAGAATCTACTGAAATTAGTGCTAAAAGGTTTGGAAATTTCCTTTCTGACAGTGACCAGAGAATTTTTTTAAAAAGATGTTTCCTTATATTCCACAGAATTGAAAGATCTCACAGCAATTGAAAGATGTATTAATCTTAGGCCTCTAAACCTGTTTGGGCTTTAACATCCAGAATGTCCAGGACTCGTTAAGACTAAGAGAGAGTAGAAAGATCTGGGTTTATCTCAAAAGAGAAGAAAAGATTTGTGATCTTGCACTAACCCTTCACTGGCCTCAGCAACCTTTAAAATAGAGCGGGTGGAGGGGACAGAGCAAGAGGCCAGCATGCTGGCTTCCTATTCAGGCCAACGTGGGGGCTACTTTTTTCCAAGGTGGCAGGACAGCAACCAGCCCAACTTCCAGTAGTGATCTATCTCCGGCAGAAGTGGCCAGCCAGCGCCTGGCAGGCGGTACCTCCCACTCCCTGAGCTAGGTCTATTCTCAAATAATATTGTGTGATGGTATCGCATGCACAGTATTTGGAAAAGAGTAAGTCATCAGAATAAGGGATAATTCTGACATTTTTTTGCCCACTACACATACGTCTAGAGTCGTAAAAACATTTGGGTGGCATTCCATGAATTGCTGTATGTGTGTTCTGTGTGTGTGAACAGTAGGGAAACAAAGCCGCTATTGAGTTATATAAATGCAGAAAAGGGATGGGAATGAATGCCGGCCTTCTGGAAATGCTATTTTTTCCCTTTGGGATAACTCCAGCAACCAAGTAGAATTTTCTGATACATTTGCCAAATAAAAGAGCTTAGGTTGAGAACTAACATGAGATATTTTTTAGCTTAATGTCTGTTTTGGAGAGCAGGGTAAGAAAAGCAAGCTCTAAATATAAATATAAAAGTTACATCTTGACTTTTCTTATGGAATCATATTGTTGCTTCCCATAGAAGCAGAAACACTTTAACTTTCACCATAAATATAATTCATTGGCATGACTTATTTACTCTGAGAAAAATTACAAAGTCATCGGGCCCCCAGGTGTTGCATTGACCCCAACCACGTTAACATTCTACTGCCGTCTCCTTTTTTCCCATCTTCTGAAACACCTCCTCCTTTGCACAGTAAGGACGTCAGAGCAGCTAAAAGACGAGACTGGATTTGAAGTTTCTCTATTCAGTGCCTGTAAAGCCAGACTCTTAGGGCAGAAAGGAGTGTGGTCTCTTGTTGTATTTGCATTCATGCTGTGTCTTAATCTTTACCTGGTTGTCTTTACCTACCCCTCCCGTACCCTTCCAATTCCTTCAGAATAAATAGTGAGAAACTTGGGAGACGTCTTCATGGAAAAGAATACAGGGATAACTGTTTTATGGTACCCAGATAAATATCTTAATCTTTCTCATCAAAACACGTTGCCCAAAGTAGGGATGAGCTAGTGTTCTGAGAACCTACTAGTCTCTGACACCACCATAGCTGCCCACACATGCCCCCCTCCTGAGCCTGGCGTGCTCATGAGGATGCCAGCCCTGTGGTTAGCCCATATTTCTCCAAGTCTGTATGGCAATAACAAGATTGCTCATGGTAGTCGGGGAGCTTAGGAACTCTGCCTCTTTTACTAGCTTCTCATCACATTGCCCAGGGACCTAGCATCCTTGGTGTCCTTATTTGCCCATTTCACACCACCAGAGTAGGCATTGTTACTTAAGTCCTTTTGCCATTACATGTCAGATTGATGATATGCACAAGGGTGTCTGGAGTAATTCCGTCATCCTTTTTTCTCATGTTTAAGAAAGCATAACTTTGAATCTGTTATAATGGTTTTGGCAAATTAGTCAAAAACTTTGGCACTTTATTATTAGTTGAAAACCCCTGGCTTGGGGCATCTGAAGTAACTGTGGGCCCTTATCCTGAGCCCACCTACTGTTCTTCATCTTCTCCGCTGCTAATACGGATTCTCCTTCATTCTTGTGTTAAGCAACAAGAGACGTGAAGATAAATAAGGCTCAGTCCTGCCCCTTAAGGACAGAATCTAAATAGGGAGATAGACACCCGTGAAACTAACCACTCTATAGGATGTGCTATAATGGTGCAAAGAACAGACTGTCGTGGAACTCGAGGAGTTCTAATTAATCTGTGAATTCGGAGATATGATATTGGAATTAGGCCTTGGAGAAAAAGGGTTTTATGTGAGTAAAAAAGGGGAAAGGCATTCCTGGCAGAGAGGACAAGATGAATAAAGGTATGAATATGGTGGGTGAGCTTGAACTAGGGCATGCTGAATGTGCCCAGAATGCAGGGTGCATGGAGGCAGGTAAAGGGCATGGAGATGAGGATGGGCTTGAGTGAGATGGTCCAAGGCCTGGAAGAGAGTGCCAGGCATTTGGTCCTCTCTCCTGTAGGCAGAGGGAAGCTGTGATGGAGAGGCTGTCAGCAGTCAGATGACCTGGGATGGTGGGGGGATTGGAGGTGTGGGGTGGACAGAGCCCAGAAGTGGGAAGACAGAGCTCTGTTGTACTGATCCAGGCTGGGGGGAGGGGGCACGGGGGAGGAGGTTGGGGACAATCAGCAGGTTGGAGACCAGTTATCTGCTTTGTCTCTGGGTTTTCAAGACTAGCACCCAGGATGCCTGACACATAGTTTGTGCTCACTAAATGGTTGAACTTATTAGACCAATTGACTGTGGAAGATGAGGAAAGGGGAGGGGAAAAATGTCTTCGAAGTGTTTAGCTTGAGAGAACAAATATGGGAGGGATAGATTTGGGGTGTTGGGAGGTGGGGAAATGGAAAAAATCTGTTAGGTTTCAGGAGGCTTCATTTGAATTGCTGGTGAGGGTGTTTAATAGAGATATCTAGGAAACAGCTGGAGATGTCAGGTTTCTCTCTGAGGGGAAAGATCTGGCACTGAAGTCAGAGATCTTCCCCTTGGGCATAGAAGGATGTGGGAGTTAGACCTTTTTTTTTAAATTTTTGGTGAGGAAGATTGACTGTGAGCTAACATCCGTTGCCAATCTTCCTCTTTTATTTATTTATTTTTTTGGTTTGTTTTGTTTTTAAGGAAGATTAGCCCTGAGCTAACATCTGCCACCAATCCTCCTCCTTTTGCTGAGGAAGACTGGCCCTGAGCTAACATCCGTGCCTGTCTTTCTCTACTTTATATGTGGACGCCTACCACAGCATGGCTTGACAAATGGAGCATAGTTCCACACCCGGGATCCAAACCAGCGAACCCCAGGCTGCTGAAGCGGAACCTGTGAACTTAACCGCTGTGCCACCGGGCCAGCCCCAGCCAGTCCTCCTCCTTTTGGTTGAAGAAGATTCGCCCTGAGCTAACATCCATGCTAGTCTTCCTCTATTTTGTATGTGGGTCGCTGCCAGAGCGTGGCTTGATGAGTGGTGTAGGTCCACACCCAGGATCCAAACCCATGAACCCAGACCACCGAAGTAGAGTGCACCAAATTTAACCACTACGCCACCAAGCCAGCCCTTGGGAGTTATACTTTTTATTATCCATCTTTACTCTTTTTCTGTTAGAAAAGCTTGGGGCTGGCCTGGTGGCACAGCGGTTAAGTGCACACGTTCCGCTTCAGCAGCCCAGGGTTCACCGGTTCGGATCCTGGGTGCAGACGTGGCACCTCGTGGCAAGCCATGCTGTGGCAGGTGTCCCACATATAAAGTAGAGGAAGATGGGCATGGATGTTAGCTCATGGCCAGTCTTCCTCAGCAAAAAGGAAGATTGGCAGATGTTAGCTCAGGGCTAATCTTCCTCAAAAACAAAAAAGAGAAGAAAAAGAAAAGCTTCTCATTGTGATTCTGTTATTCTTTCTTTCAACTTCCTATCCGTGAAACCCCATCCTGCCCTGTGACAGAAGGTTCATAGGTTCACTGTATTTCAGTAAATCAGGTTCTGTCCCAAAGCTTCAGGACTGTGGCTTAAGTATAAGATACCTTACGTGCAAAATCATCTGACCATGCAGACCCACTGCAAGCTGTCCTATTAAGAAAAGGAAACTCAGCCTTCTATAGGGGACAGCAGTAATTTAGCATGGAGTACAGTGGACTTAGAAGCAAGAGGCCTGACTTACTGAACAAATGACTTTGATTCCACTCCCTCAGGTGTAAAATGGAAATGGCCTGCCCTGCTGCAAGGGTCAAATGACGTGTGCCAGCGTTTGCTTCTGGAAATCAAAGAGGTTTCGTTTACACCTAGTCACAGTTGTCAGCATCACTTACTGATATCTGAGCAGTTGCCCCATTGCCGACTGGAGTGGAGGAGGTCGAGGGAGATAAACATCTGTCCTGACCACAAAGCTCTGGTTTCCATGTCGAGAGCCAGTCACCAGGGCGAAGGATCCACAGCTTTAGAAACAGATGTGTTAGGTGGCCATGTGGAGCACGCTCTACTGTGATATTATATAAATCAGGCAATTCCAATTAAATTCAACAACCGCAATTCTAGGCATTTTTTTCTTGGAGGTTTTTATATGGTGATGTTACTATCAATCACATTTATAAATACTAAATAGCAAAATCTGAATATTCATTCCAGACTTTGAGTAATAAAATTGGGAAACAAAGACGCATGCAAAGAATGTACCAGTCTCGCTGTGGTCATATACTGTGGGAGACCCATGTGAAAAACTGGAATTAATTGCTGTGTTAGTATCTCTGGGGCTCAGTTATCCTCTGACTGCCGTACAAGGAACTGCATAAGCAATTCAGCCATTGAATTCTGGCAGCCTGTGGAAACATACATGGTTTCTTCCCCCTGTTATTTTTTTGATGCCACCAGCCCCTGCCCCCTTCAAGGCAGTGTTCCAGCTGTTTCCTTAGGGAGTAGTTTCATAGGAAAGTTTCTTTTGTAGGCTTCCAACTGGCTTCATTTTCACTATCTCCATGAAGTCACTGTCTTTGTCGCATTTGTATGAAATTATCCAGCATGCGTTGCGTTAGGATTTTCTCTGTAAATTGTTGACTTCGTATTCTGGTTTGCACACGCAGGCTGTCTCCTGGATCAGACATCTATGTGACGGTCTCATCCATGGCTTTAGCAAGATCCCAGCAGTGTCGAAACTCCCCTAGCAGCCTATCTTCGTCCAGCGAGACTGGCTCTGGTGGGGGCACTTACAGGCAAAAATCCATGCCCGAAGGGTAGGTATGCCTTTGGCCCCATTGTGGACGGTCCTGGTTGACATCACTGTCTTTCATCTGTAATTCAGACATGTGAAGTGATTTCCATTCAGCCAGCCTTGATCAGTTTACAAAAGAGCAAAAGGGAAAATGTGGTTGATATTCCAGATAGAAAAATGTTTTAATGGCTGGTTCAGAAGTCTATCATTTTCTAATCTCTAAGGACACAATGGTAGAGAAATTAAATTACATCAGTTTCTGTGTTATAGATACCGTCTAGTTTCATAGTACAGATTTTGTCACTTCTTAATATTTCATCCAGAGTGATCTCAGTAGTATATTGCTTGTGCTGGAGTTTGTATTGTCGTTAAAGTAGGGGAAATGATCTTCATATCCAAAGCTTAAAATTATTCTTCTCACATTTCAAAAATCCTCTGTGATTTCAGCCTGTGAGTTGTTTGGTTTTTTTTTTTTAAATCTTGTTTGAAAGCACTAAACACCCAAAAGTAACTATTTACTTCTAACAAGACTTACCAAGTAAAAAGCTAAATATACATAATTTTACAGTCTACTAAAAAGGGGGAAAAAACCTGGAATGTCTGAAGCTGGGAAGTAATTAGCAACAAAACATTACTTGGCACACACAAGCCACCTTTGCCCAGAGGAAGAGGACCCCCACGCCTCAATAGCTCTCTGGGGAAGCCAACAAAGAACTCGAACCATTTGAAAATCAAATGTGAGGTGTTTGAAAAAACCTGATGTTTCAGGTCCAGCCTGGTGGCGGAGCGGTTAAGTTTGCGTGCTCTGCTTTGGTGGCCCAGGGTTTGCAGGTTCAGATCCCAGGCATGGGCCTACACCACTCATCAAGCCATGCTGTGGCAGTATCCCATGTACAAAATTGAGGAAGATTGGCACAGATGTTGGCTCAGGGCCAAGCTTCCTCACCAAAACAAAGCCAAAAAACCTGATGTTTCTAGCCTAAGTTTTCCCCAAATATATTTTTAACAAATGCACACATGATTTATTTACTTTCTTGAGATTTTAACGTGTTATAAAAGAATCACGCTTACTAAGAATACCTTCATTATGGGTATTTTTTATCCTATACTATTTTGTTGGGTTTTACAGCTATTAAGTATGATTTTGTTGTTGTTAAACGTTTATGCTAGCAGAAAGTAGATAATAAAACCACTGTAAAATATGCTTCCCTCCCTCGCCCCCAAATGTCTCCCTCAGGATTCCTGGGTTTCATATCTAACATGCACGTTTCTTATTTTAATTACTTTAGTGACAATTAGAAAAATATTTCAGCTCTTATTCATGACTCCCTGCAAAAGGTTTTAGGAGTTTAGTAGTAGTGGTATAGCACACCACGAGCCCAACGAATTATTTCTTGTTTGAATTAGTAGATTTTAAACGTCTTGGTTTGACTTCAAAAGTAAGAATTCACTGCAACTTTAGTGTTAGTACAGCAATCAAATATAAATGAGCTAACAACAACCAAAAAGCGTCATTTTCTCCTAATGAATTAAAGTGATGATAAACTTTAAAAGTATACCCAAACCTAAGTTGAAACATGGTTGTTTTGGGGAATATTAATGTTAGACATGTGGGTCCAGGGCCCGTGCCGCACAGTGTTTTTAATGAGGTGATAGGTATTGAACTTGACATCTAATCCCCACCCTGCCCCACGTAGTGTTAAGGGTTTCTCCCATTGTTTGTGAGGTTATCAGTGATTGTTTGTTATACAGTATAACATTTTTTTTTTTTTAACCCGGGGCAATTTGTTACAAGATGATGCTGATACAAGGCTTTCCTCTCGATCCTAAGCAGTTTTTGCCTCTATCACTGATGCAAGAGACGGTGGTTCACTGTCTGACTCACATGCGTTGCTCAGAGTCCAGGTTTGATCCTAAAGTTCCCCTCGGCAAGGGAAAAGTGGTTCCCTCTACTCTACACCTTAGCCAGTAAGACCAGACATGTAAGGTTGACAGTGAAGCAGGAGCGTGTGTGGTCTGCTGCGAGCTCACTAAAGTTACGCTTGGCGAAGCTCGAAAGCATGGGCTAAGAACAATAGGTCAGGACACAGTTGTTATCCATAAATGTAACCTGTTCCTTTGTTGTCCTCCCTCCACTTCAGTGGGCCCGCTGTCTGCGTGGGTCTGATTTGTGCCTGCCCACTTGCTGGTGTGAGGATGTTGAGACCATCCATGGCAGTTGAGAAGTGAAATTTAATAGGGTGGTGAATAATACCTGCTCGACTTAAATTCAGGAGCAGGGAGGGGCACCTGCACAAGCTTAGCATGGGAATGGGAGGTAGTTAAAAAGCGATGCTGTTGAAGACATACGGTCTGTTCTACCACCGTTGGAGGTTTAGTTTTCGGCCACACATGTTGAGGAATGTGGACGAGGCAGGGCGTGTCCAGAGGGAGCGATGGATGCCGTAGATGAGGCCTCGGGAGACCATGGTGTGAGAAACAGAACTGAGGATGTACAACGTGAAGATGAGAATTGTGGAGGCGAGGAGGCCACCAAAGCTTCCTTCCGGCACTCTTAGATGAGGGACTAAACTTGTCTGTGAGGGCAGCTGAGACCAACAGACGAAAGTTACAGAGAAGTTTCCAGCCCAGCATGAGGAAGCTCTTTCAAAGCCGTCAGCCCTCTCTGGAGAGCAGTGGGCTGGCTCACGAGGTAGAGAGTTCTTGGTCACTGAACATGTTTCGTGTATCAGCCAAATGATTGCTTAAAAACTCCTTCAGATCTGGACTGTGACTCCTAATCCATTAAATGCTCTTTCGAAGAGGGGCACGGAGGGAAATAGGAACAGGTTTTGTCTGAGCTGCTCAGGGACGGCATCTTCGTGTCTCTAATACCCTGGCACACAGTAAATGAGGGGTGCGTGCGAGAACTGAAAGTAAAAATTCGTTGGATGAAAATGTGTTTCAAGGCAGAATTTAAGGACAGCCTTACTTTACTGTTTATTTAAAACCAGACAGCCAGAAAAATGTTTGGCTTTAAATTCAGAGGTTTAAAAACTTGTCTTTAGCTTCCACTGCTTCCAAGAGTAAAAGCAAGATTAGAATCCATTTCTAACTTTTATCTCTGTGCCTTTTTGAAAAAAGTCCTAATTTAGTGCAAACTTTGAATAGGATCATAGGGCCAGTTCAAGGATATTTACTGTCCTAAACTAAACAAGAATCTTACTTAGGGAAGAGATGGCAAAGAGCAGAATTAGTGAAATTTTTTCTTGAAATGAGCATCTTTAATGAAGCTTTCATAAATCAAGGTTTTTGTTCGTTTTTAATAATGGAGGTAACTGTTTAGTGAGGATCATGATCGAGTTTGTAAGCAATTGTCATTTGTGCAGAAGTACCTAGGAGAGGCCATAGTGTTAGTTTTATTAAAATATTTTATGGCCTTCTCTACTTGGCAAATGCTTGTATGTGGATGCTTCTCCCTGAATCCATATAGTGGAATTGCCATTTTACAGGTGAAGAAATGGAGACAAGGTGCCGGCCTGGTGGCGTAGTGGTTAAGTATGCACACTCTGCTTCAGCAGCCCAGGGTTCACAGGTTTGGATCCCAGGCGCAGGCCCAGCACAGCTCATCAAGCCACGCTGTGGCAGTGTGCCACATAAAATAGAGGAAGATGGGCACAGATGTTAGCTCAGCAACAGTCTTCCTCAAGCAAAAAGAGAAAGTTTGGCAACAGATGTTAGCTCAGGGCCGATCTTCCTCACAAAAAAAGAAAAAGAAAGAAAGAAAGAAATGGAGACAAAACCAGAGTGACCTTGGGTGGGGGAGCTGGACTTGGCTCTGGGTCTCCTCCCCCTGATCCCCTGCTCTTTCCAGTGCACCCCTTGGTCTCCTCATGCGATTATCAGTTTGTACCAAATAAGACAGCCATCACGTGCGTCAGTTAATTCAGGCCCGGTTTAGTGTTTTATTGTGTACATTACTCATACTCATTAGTAACCCCACACAAATTTGTAAATTTCCACAGGAATCTTTGAGTTCAACACCCTTTTCCCTGGGCTCAGTCAGTATTTACTTTGCTGATACTGCTAATCAAGGCATATGCTTTTAATTAAGCATATATTATATTACTATTATTCTACACAGGGAAAAATAAAACTGGCTCATTAAATAGCTAAATGTTCTCTCCAGAAATAGACATTTGTCCCTATATATGCCCGTTTACCTACTTCTAAATTGCCCCTCCCAAAGGCAATTTAAAATTTATACATTGTGAAAGTGGTCTCTGTGTAAGGTAAGTGATAGAAGTGTTTCAGACTGTAGCGCAAGTACTCAGAAAATACTTGTTCCAAGAATGAATGGTTTAGGGGTTTAGCAGATTACCAAGTTAAGAGAAACCTCTGAAATGTACTCATTGCTAGATGTACATGGAACATTAGGCTGGTGAAATCTTTCCTTTGGCTGTGAATGACATTCTGAACTTGACTACCCAAAGGCTAAAAGATTTTGGTTTCTTAGTCTATACATCTTAGGGTAGCTCACTCCTCATGGCTCTGGCCCTTGTTTACAGCTTATACACTTAGTGTACATACTTTTCTGAAGAGAGGAATGTATATTGACCATAACAAGATACATCGTTCTGCACCCATGTACACCTGCACAAGGATGTGTGCGCAAGTCCAGACATGTAAGCAAAACTAGTAGTACCTGTCATTAGAGTTCAGTTCATTACACCCAGGACTACTTTCCCTTTCTGGGTGAGGTCCCTGATGTCGTCTTTGCCTTTGTCTGGGGAAATTGCCACAGGTTCGGAGTGAGCCGCAGATCCCCAGCCTCCATTGACAGGCAGAACACCCAGTCAGATATTGGTGGCAGCGGAAAATCCACACCCAGCTGGCAAAGAAGTGAAGATAGCATTGCCGACCAGATGGGTAAGTAACTAATTTCTACAAAAAGCAAGTTGCTTTTATCCCAAGGTGACTTTGGCCACTTCTTGATGTCATTAAAACATTCGGTTATATAATACAGCCCTGGTTAATAAATGTGAGTGAGAGTTCAGTCTCGGTTAGATTATGTGTAAATAAAAGCGACATGTAAGACCCGAGAGAAAAGTCAAGGAATTCTAACTGACCCCGAATTTCAAAACAGAAAGGACCTAGGAATTATTTTCAGCACCGGGATTCAAATGCCAGACTTCCAAACCACATGTGTCCTAAGTACCTCCCTCCCCCTTGTGTGTTTGTCTGTTTTTGCCTAGGATAAGTGCCCTGAGAGATTCCTTGATATTCTTAATGTCAAGTAGAAAAAAAGGAAACTATGTGCAAAGTGGGCAAGAGGTACAGTTGTTGTTGAGTCCCGTCTGTAGCTTGGTCAGATCTCTCTCCTCCTCAGATGCACCCCCAGCCCCCAGCCCCGCCCTCACCCCCGTCTGCTCTTAAGCTGTCAGCTGAGGACATGTCTTCACAGCATGAAACAGCTGGGTGGGAAAGGCTTGCATTAGTGAGCCTTCGTTTGGGTTTCTGGCACGCCGCTCGCTCGCTCTCTCTTTCTGAGCAGTTGTTCTCCTATGACACTAGTTGATACAGTAAAGTTTTCCCATGAAACAAGATTAAGTTTCAACACAGCAGCATCAACACAGTTGATTTAGTATTAACACAGTTGATACAACAGGGACCTGAATATAGACTGTTATGGGGGTTCCCCCCCCCATTTATCTTATTTTTGGTAGTATTACCATCAATATGGGATAAAAAGAAGCAATTTTCAGGGCTGAGAAAGATAAACTTTTAAGGCAAAGACCCATCTTTTTATCTTCTCTGCAAACGCCTTGTTTTATTGTGTTTTAATGACTGTGCCCATGTAGCTGTACTACCCGTGCACGTAGGAGGGAGTGGAGATGCGTTCAGCTAAGCCAGTAGTTGAGGAAGAGAAATTTAATTCTTAGCTTCTGAAGATATGCTTTGTTCCAGCAACTTCAGTGAGATGTGCCTTGTTATTGAAGCCATCTGTCATTCTCTTACTCCCATCCCACCCACCCCAACACAAAAAACCTGAGCATATTCGGATCTGCTGTTCTGCTCCTGACAGAATGTTTTTAATCCCATATGTTTTGATACTGTTGAGATGGTAACGACACATGTGCAAAGGATCCCTTCTTCAGCATGACTTTGGCAGCTTTTTTTGGCTCCTAGTGCAGGCTTTGAGCAAAGCTGCCAGCAAGCCCTTTGTGCGGTGTTCAGTGTCACACTTCCCACTCATGTGAAGTCACTCGGGGAATGAAAAGGGATCCTGGGACTGGAAAGGGTAATTATAAGGTTCGTCCTAGACTGTATTCATTCTTTCACATAAGCCCTCCTCTAGTCTTTTTTTCCTCGCATCCACTTTAGTTTAGTGGCATCCCACTCTTAATAGATAAGACTCTGAAATTAATATCAGTGAATCTTTTTAACACATTTGTTCATCCTTTTAGTAAGGTGTACCTTTTTTTTTTTCCTTAATAAGATACCCCTAGAACCTTCCAGAGAAACCTTTTTTACCAAGTGGTGGCTTTTCTCTATCTAAAATCTAAGGCTTCAAATAAAAAGTTAACTTTTTATTTATAAAAATAAATTTTTATAATTTTGACATTCTAGCATTTTAGAATAACCCAGACTTTTCTAGTTGGCATATCAGAATCTGGGGCTTAGTTGGTATAAATCACGCTAGGGAGAAATCAAGAAAAATCATTGTTATATTCTCATGACTGAGTACACTCTATCGAGTGTATAAAGGGCTGCCCTTTGTGCACTCATTTTGTAAGAACAAAATTCCCTAATGACATGCAGGTCACTGGTTGAAAATGTTGAGAGATTCTTATTTGTTAGCCAGACCCACTTGTCTTTGTACATCCGTCCGTTATAAACTGGTACCCCAGTGGAGACGAGGAATTTAGCTGCTTAATTGGCTCACTCATCTCAGTGGATGTCGGTTTTTCTGCCTCTCTACTTTTGGAAATGGTTGAGAGAGTCAGAGTCTGTTGCCCAGTCCTTTACGTGTTAGGAATGGTGTCGCAGAAGTCCAGAATTGTTGCTGTTAGCCGTAGGTGTGTTAAAGAAGCTAGATCGCTTACCTGTCACCTTTGGAACCCCATCTTGAACGCCAGCTTGGAGTCCAAAAGGAAGCAATTGTTTTAAGTAAACTAGTTGCTGTGTGTCTTTTCTGTTGTGCTTAGCTTACAGTTATAGAGGACCTCAGGATTTCAATTCTTTTGTCCTCGAGCAGCATGAATATACAGGTAAAATATTTCCAAAGTGTCATGGTAAGTAACACGTGATTGCATCCATGCCTGTCCAGGTAACGTAGACCAAGCTAGGTTAGCCACACTTCGCAATGAATGAATTTCATAAATTTAATCCATATATTCTAGACTTTCCCGCCCAAACCAAAAGTTGATTCCTAACTCTGCCGCGTTGTTCATGGCCTTTGATTTGGTGGTACTTGGCTATGCTAATGTGTATGATGTGACACGTTGTCACCATCTGCAAGCTTTATCCATCAGCCACTTAGTTTCTGACATGCTGCCTATCGTGTGAACTCTCAACAAGCTTATTGCTGAAATTCAGAGTTCGCTGGTCAGTGACCTGAGAGATGCAGTGGCAAGCCGTCTTCATTTGTCAACATGTGCTTGGATCTATTTGGTGCCTGCACCATAACGTCTTGTGCTATATTCCAGAGCCAACATGCCATCTCCCAGCAGTATCAAAGGTACTGCCAGCTTTCCGAGAGAGCCCCAGTGGGAGATTAATGCGTCAGGATCCAGTGGTTCATTTGTCTCCAAACAAACAAGGGCATGTAAGTTAATTGTAAAATAATAAAAATAATAGGTTCCTAGCAATGTGCTTTCCTTACGATGTGAAAATGGTGTAGGTCTGCTCTGCTCTTTCTTCCTCGTGGTCCAAGAGGAAGTCGTCCGGGCAGAGGCAGGCCTCTGCTGCCAGTGGCCCTAAGGTCGCTTTGAGATAAATCGAAATTCCTCATGGGTATGTACCTGCTACCCCCACAGATCTCGATGGAAGGTGTTGTAATCCAGTCACAAACAATCCTAAAATGATAGGAATGGAAATGTGCTAGAAGTGGGTTTTATTGGTTTACACAGTTGTAACCATGAGATATGGTTGGAGCATCAGTCAAGGGGACAGACAGCTGCCTGAGGACCCTGCCTCCTGTGTCTCCTGTCTTCCATAGCGATACACAGTTTTGTCCTTTTACCGTAGTAACATGCAATTCTTTATCACTTACAGCTAGAATTGGGAATTTAAGAGATTATCATTTCCTCCCCCTTTAAATGAAGTTGATGTCCTTGGTCTGTCTATACACTAGAATGTGTATTTATAGTTATGTCATTCTGTAGGATGAGGAAATGCTGTATTTCATGTTTACTACTTTATAAGATGCTCAGAGAACTTTTAATGGGAGGGCTCATGTAGATTTTGCTGTAGGGAAATGAATATTGAAGCTAAAAGAAGGAGAGGACATGCTCACATGTGTAAGCTAGCACCCTGCACTAGGCTGTGTGGAGAGATCTGCCGATGAAATGTGATGTTCTAAATGATAGGTTATCCCAGATCTGTGAGTTTCCCATCTTTCGTTAATAACTTTTATATTGATTACATGGTAAAATAATATTTTGGACAGGTTGGGTTAGATAAGCTATATTCTTCAAGTCAATTTCACCTGTTTCTTTTTACTTTTTAGAACCTGGCTACTAGAATATTTAAAATGACAATGTGGTTCACATTGTATTTCTATAGAAACCTATTATGTACTTTACACCCCAGCACATCTGAGTGTGGACTAGCCACATTTAAAGTGCTGAATAGCCACCCGTGACTAGGGGCTGTCAGATTCTCCAGCACAGGTACAGAGCTGAAGACGTTCTGCCCTACAAATAGGAGAAATGAGTGAAGGCTTTATACCGCACAAGTTGTTACTGAGAGAAACTTGAGTAGCGTCCCTACAGTAATGGGCTCGATTGTTTTTAAGGAGAAGAGATGCTTTGCTTTGGGGTGAAACTGGAGTGTCCCCCTCCTGTCCCGTACCTACAGCCAGTGAGGAGCATGTTCTGTCCTCAGCCGGGAGACAGATGGACAGACAGACACACACACACGCAATTCCTTCTCTCTTTTTTCTCTTACTCTCCACCGAGTATCTGGACTTCCTGCATCCATCTAATTTAAAATATTATTTTATCCAGAAATCTTACTTCTTTGGTAAACTATAAAACTAAGCAACTAAGCCCCTGTGTAGAAAGGGTTCTATACACAATTTTTTAATTGAGATATAATTTACATACCATAATATTCGCCCATTTAAAGTGTACAATTAAGTGGTTCTTAGTGTATTCACAGAGTTGTGCAATCAGCACCTTGATCTAATTCCAGAACATTTTCATCACCCCAAAAAGAAACCCTGTGTCTTTAGGCAGTTATCCCAACTCTTTTCATCCCCTCCAAGCCCTTGATAACCACTAATCCACTTTCTGTCCCTATGGATTCCCTATTCTGGACCTTTCATATGAATGGAAAATCATACAATGTGTGGCCTTTTGTGTCTGTCTTCTTTCACTTAGCATACGGTTTTTAAATTTCATCCATGTTGTAGCATGTATCAGTACTTCATTTCTTTTCATGACTGAATAATATTCCGTTGTATGGACATACCACATTTTTATCCATTCATCAATTGATGGACATTTGAGTTGTTTCTACTTTTTGGCTATTCTCAATAACGCTGCCATAAGATTCATGTGGAAGTTTTTGTGTGAATGTGTTTTCATTTCTCTCAGGTATATACCAAGAGTGGAATTGCAACTGTTTTCTCACAGCAACTGCCCACTTTACATTCCTTCCAACAGTGCCAACCATCGTTATTGTCTGCCTTTTTCGTTAGAGCCATCCTAGTGTGTGTGAAGTGTTACCTCATTATGGTTTTGATTTGCCTTTCCCTACTGACTAATGATATTGAGCATCTTTTCATGTACTTGTTGCCCACTTGTATATCTTCTTTGAAGAAAGGTCTATCCAAATCCTTTGCCCATTTTTTAAAAGGGTTATTTGAAGTGCAAGAGTTTTTGATTTTGATGAAGTCCAATTTATCTATTTTTTCTTTTATTTTTGGGGCTTTGGTGTCATATCTAAGAAACCATTGCATAATCCAAAGTCCCGAAGTTACCTACTTATGTTTTCCTCTAAGAGTTTTATAGGTTAGCTCTTACATTGAGGTCTTTGATCTTTTCTAGTTTATTTTTCTATGTGATGAGGATCCAACTTCTTTTTTGCATGTGGATATTCAGCTGTCCCAGCACCATTTGTTGAAAAGACTATTTTTCCCCCACTGAATTACCTTGGCACCTCTGTATAAATTTTACCTCTAAGCACTCCTGAGAAAGCTGTCTGCTAAGTCGATGCTAATTGGGGAGGAAAAGGAGATCTCTTTAGGAGTGTCTGACATTAGCCTCCTATTTACTCTGAGTAGTAGGACTTTTCTAGTTATAAGCCTTTTGGAAGTGTCATTTCCTTTCTATTTTAAGATTAAGATATTAAAATGTCTAACAGTTTAGATTCTTTTTCTGATGAAAATTATCTCAATACTGTTAATACTTTAGCATAAGTCAAATAATGAAAAATGGACTCTAAAAGAAACCATTTCCAGCGCTCTCTGCCATGGACACGTCTGAGTGGGTTTTTGCAGGTACCTCCTGTCTTGCTTTGGTTTGTCATCATGGGAATTTTTGTGCCTTGAGACCCCCGTAACTAAACACATTTCACAGGACCCTTCCCCTCTTATTTTTCTCTGGTGTTTAAGAAGCAAACCTGCCCCTAAGTCAGTCCTGCTTCCCTTGCAGTCTGACAGCCACTACTCGAGCCACTCCAGCAGCAACACCCTCTCCAGCAACGCATCGAGTGCCCACAGTGACGAGAAATGGTACGACGGGGACCGCACAGAATCCGAACTCAACAGCTACAACTACCTGCAAGGCACCTCTGCTGACAGCGGCATCGACACCACCTCCTATGGCCCCAGCCACGGCAGCACGGCCTCCCTGGGGGCTGCCACGTCGTCACCTCGCTCAGGGCCAGGCAAGGAGAAAGTGGCACCCCTGTGGCACAGTTCCAGTGAAGTGATCTCCATGGCGGATCGGACTTTAGAGACAGACGGCCACGGCATGGACCGGAAAGCAGAGTCCTCCCTGAGCTTGGACATCCACAGCAAGAGCCAGGCCGGCTCAAACCCTCTGACCAGGGAGAACAGCACTTTCAGTATAAATGACGCTGCTTCTCACTCGAGGTAACCGCCCCTTCCTGCTGCCGCTCCCCTTCCAGCCCAGGCCCACAGCGACCTTTCTGCCACATCCCACTTTAATATGCTCAGTAGTGTATAAAGAAAGGGGGTCTTTCATGCAGTGACAGTTGCTTATATATATTTAGTGCCCACTAAAATACTTTATTCCTACAATCCTGATGCATTATTTTTTTTTTGAAGATTTTATTTTTTCCTTTTTTCTCCCCAAAGACCCCAGTACATATTGTATATTCTTTGTTGTGGGTGCTTCTAGTTGTGGCATGTGGGACACCGCCTCAGCGTGACTTGATGAGCAGTGCCATGTCCGCGCCCAGGATTCGAACCAATGAAACACTGGGCTGCCTACAGCGGAGTGCGCGAGCTTAACCACTCGGCCACAGGGCCAGCCCCCTTGATGCATTATTTTAAACTATGAGAAAAGTTTGCAAATTTATTCTTTGTAAAATTGTATTTGATTTTATGAAAGCTTTCCTAACACATACCAGAATTAGAAAAGAATTTTATAATTTTGGCTTTCAGCTAGTGATAGAGAATATACAGTGGGACAGTCTTTTGAAGACATTAAAAGGAGAGCTTGGCCATCTTTTTAAAAGAAAAGGCTCTTTTCTAAGACTAACGTGTCATTGTTGATGATGCTATACCCTTCCTTTACGCTGCCTCTCTATCAGAAAGCTTCATTTACCCAGGGTCTGCATGGAATTTTTTTTCAGTAGTTGGCTCCTGACAGTGATGTGTTGAAGGGGGGTGGTATCCAACAGAAAAGTGGAGCTAAAGTTAGACACATCCCATCCACCTTTCAGGATAGAAAAGTGCGCATTCCCGTGTCCTTGGAGATCACTCTGATAGGCAAAATAAATATATTTTTTATTTCCTCTTTTGGATTGAGCCTAAATCCAAAGTATGACAAGATTCTTCCTTTTAGGGGAAACATTCCATCACTGTCTTTTTGCGCCTGTTGATCTCTGAATGTTTCTCCTTTAACCTTTTACTGTTGTCAGTCGCTGATCAGCTTGCGTGACAGCATCTAACCTCACTGTCGTCTGGCCCCGCTATTATTATGCCCTAAAGAAAAATAGCAGAGAAGCTGAATTTAGTTGTACTTTTCAAATGGGAATCCAGGCACATAATCTGTCAGTAAACCCAGATAATCTAAATGAGAGGGGATCTCCGCTACCTAATTTGGATTGGTTTGACTTGATCAGTTAAATATTCAGTTCTCTCGTTGTCTCTGTATTGTTACTGATAAGATTCTTGAGCTTCCCATCTTTTAAAATTCCAGGTTGGCCCCGTGGTATGAAGCATTTCACAAGTTTTGTTTTTGTTTACCACTAGCGCATTGCAGTAATAAAGGGTGATTGTGACAGGTCTGGAAACTACTCAGCCCCCAGACGAAAAGACAATTGGGAAAGAAGTCTCGGTATTCTTGAGTTCAGGCACCTAGTTACCTTCCACAATTCAGAAAATAGAATGTCTGATGCAAGCGGGTTAAGGAAGTGTTTGGAAAAGTAGAACAGGAAGCTGGACGTCAAATACCATAATAAGATAATATGGTCACAGAATCACATGACACAGAATTATGACATGTGCTTGCTGTTTTGGGCATGCTCCACCATCTCGTCAACTCTAGCTTGTGCATTGACTTAGAATATTTTTCCCAAATGGTTTCTCTGCGGTTTCTAGGTTTAGCTTGACCCCTATCTCTGTGGTGTTCAGTCCTTCATCTTGAAAGGAGCATGTCTTTTTAAGAATGATATTCCATCTGGGGATGTCTCTCTGGTCTAATTTGATGGCAGGAGAAAGTCAGTTATAGAGCTCCTGTCTAGAATGGCATCACCATGGAGTAAGGGTGAAAGGGCTGGGCCTCTGAACACAAAGCACAAAATGTCAGCTGTGCCATCTAACAAATCTGACAAATCCCGGGGGATCTACAAAGTCCCCCCCTGAAAAGTGGGCACCTGGGCTTGCATTATCTGATTGTGCTGACTGAGGCTGCCTGAAGGCCTCAAAGGATTATCCAAATTTTCTCCTTCAAACTGACCATGCAGAAATCATTTCCATCATCCTTTAGAAATAACTCTTCTGCTGAAAGTCAAACTTACTAGAGAAGAGAAGAATGTGGCCTTTCAGGGAGGGTGGCAGGGCGTCCCACCCACTGACAGCCTGAGTCACAGCCATTTCTAGACTCTGGTAACCGGGGATGCTTTGTGACTTCAGGCTGTTGATCTTGGCAGAGTGAGCTGGGCAATCCGAGCTTTAGCAGACTTCCCTTTCTGGAGGAAAGGGGGACTTAGCCACCAAATGCACATTGCTGGAGAAACCAAAATCACTGCAAATTAGAGTGTTTGTGTCCTCACAAGACAGGAACAGCAATTAATGTGGAGATCTCTTGACAGTGCATAAAAGAGCTTGTACCTGGGACTTGGTGACAAAATCTAAATTACAGTGATTAAGTTCCACTGTGTATTTCTGGCTGGGCTGTGTTCCTACTCCCTCTGTCCTGCAGTCTCCCTGTAGATGACTGTGCAGGTTTTTTGCGCCAACCCGTGAGAACTGCATTAGTGTAGGTTGGTAATTACAAGGGGTTGTTATATTCGAATGTCATTAAGAGAAGCCATATACACTGATAACTTTCTATAATTACATGTGTTTTCTATGAGGTTTGGAAATTTAGGGAGAAATTTTTATTTTTTATGTTTTTGTAATGGCTGTTTCACTTTCAGGTCTTAAACCACTCAAAAAATGATTTGTGGCAAGCATAGGAGAGATGAAGATAGTTCCAATTCATAGTCTTACCAGCTGCGGTCCTTTTTTCTTAGAGTCCTGGTCTTAGCAGTAGGCAGTGCCAGTTTGTGTGGTGACCACAGAGCTCCTTAGTTAGCATACAGAGCCCTAGGCCCCTAACCAATGGTACTGCTGATGGCCGAACTAGATTTAAGAGCACACGTTAGAAAGCTAAAAACCCCACCACATATTTGCACATACACCTCTCTTCTCTAACAGCCTGACCTGACCTGTTTGAGTGTCCAGACTTCTGCACCCACCCTCGTTAGCCAGCCATTCTGCTTTGAACTCTTGCTTCCCATACACCCCCACAGCCCTGTAGCCAATTAGTACTCACTTATGTGATCAGATTTTTCCTGCCATCAGGTATGAGAGGATGTCTCACCCAACTGTTCATCCTAAGCAGTTTTGCATAGAGTGTGCCAGCATGGGTATAACGGATAGGTGCTCAACACACCAACATAACAGATGGTTGCTCAATAAATTTTGATGAACAAACAGGAATAACTTCTTCCTAATAGTCCCATTTTTTGCTTGGTGACCCATGGCGCCTACTAATAAACTGAATCAAAAATAACATCAATCCTCAACTCCTGCCTCCTTGAAAACACTGCTACATCTCAAGGCTTATTGGATGGAAGTGTCAGTGTTTGCAAAAGCTGTCATACTTTTCTGTATAGGTGTTTGTATGAAACATAAAGTCCTTGTATGGCATGAACTTTTAGTAAAGTCATTTCTGTATAACATTTTGTAAAATCTGCAAAATATTACAAGGAAGGACTTTATAACAGCTTATATGCAAATATCAATCAGTATCTGGATGTAAGTTGGTTAGTGCCTGACATTCCCTAGAGGGGCTGATTAAAGGCCAGGGAAAATGCCTGCCCACCGTTGTCAGTGCAGTTCAGTTTCATGAATGTGCTTTTTCTGGTTGACCTAATAAATTAACTGATCGTGCCAGAAAAGCTGTGTGTTTCTTGAGAGTAGAGGTAAAGAAGGGCTTCTTAGATTTGGTTTACCTTGGACATTAAGGCATGCCTCAGGCTGCCCAAGCATCCTGGGCTGTGCCTGTGGGCGTACCATCGCTGGTGTGTTTCAGTTTTGTTCTCTGCCCCTTTATCTGTAACGTTCCCTTCCAAATCTCCCTAGAATTTTTTTTAACTATTAATAATTAATTGCCTCTCTTCTTCATTTTTTTCTTAAGGTGAGAATATTATTTTTCTAAGTTTTATGGACTAATTCCGAATTTGAAAGTGCGGCCTCTTAAATGACAAACCTAGGACTTCTCTTCAACGTGCGGTTAGCTCTACCTGCCTTACGTTTACCGATTGTTTTCACTAGTAATTTTTGCTTTGTGCTCCTGCATGCAGTGAATATTCAGGATTCTGTTTTATTTTGCTTTTATCCAGCAGAACTTCAGGTCATCTGGCCTAAGCTATCTTGCCCCGTTTCTTCCAGCTTATGAGAGTGGGTGATTATTTTATCCAGAACTTTAGTGATGTTCAGCTAACTTCAAAGACTGAAAAACAGAAGTACTATGGTTGAATTTCAAGTGAACGTTGAGAAAATGAGACCTCTGTCAAGCCACAGATGTCAGATTGCTTAATGCAGAGCTTACCAACAAAAAGTTTATCATTATTTTGTTGTTCTGTGAAGTGACTAATCATTCATCCAGTCAATATGGAAAGCCAAATTCTCCAAATGCCATTAAATCATAAGACCAAAAGGAGTTCTGAAAGGACAGAGTCCATTCCTTGTCGTATTTAAGCAATCCTACCAGGAGGAGAATTTATCCAATTGCTTAAAAAAAAGGGAAGTGGGGAGAATAATTTCAAGAAGATTCTACAACCATTCTGAGTACTTAAGTCCTCTCCCTCTTCAAAATTTTGTCCCATCTCTACCTAGCTGAGATCCCTCTAGCTGCCCCTTAAATATACAACTAAGAGAGAAGAGATGGTTTTTCTGAGCTGAGTCTTTTATAAACATGAAGATTTTTGAAGTCTTAAGACTGTGAAATTTGTAGACACCAACAAGAGGCCATTGAAAACAATTTAAAAAAAAAAAAAGAAATTTTCCTTCCACCTCCAGGCAAGTTGCGAGAGAAACGGAGGGAAATAGCTTTGAATCCTGAGATCCTGGTCAAGTCTCAGTTCCACCGTTGACCAGCCATGTGGCCTCTGCTCAGTCACGCCATTTCACTGAGCTTGTCTCTGATCTGTAATCTGATAATACCTGGGCCCCTTACTAATTGTTGTTTTTATATGTTTGTTGAGAATAAAAAAGCTTGTCAAATGAATTGCAAACTGTAAATGTCCTTTGAAGACAAAATGTTCTCTGTCGTTTCCTTTTTTAAGCTCTCCGTCACCCACTTTGATGCAGTCTTCCAGCGATTTTTCCTTCAACAAACATGTACCTCCCACAACTCCTGTAACTCTCCTTTGTGTGTTTCACTCTATAGTCATATTTTTGCTTTCCTGCTTTGTTTTCTATATCCTTTTTAATGCCAAACCTTGACATGACACTCAGCTAATGCCTAAAAGATGGTAATATTCATAATTATCTTGTTAGCTCTCTATTAACTAGCTCAGCATTGCAGACTCACTCAGCTTGTGGTCCACAGTGCCCCTGAGGCCTCTTCTGTTGCGTATGCCTAGCCACTCATTTCCCTATGCTTTATGTATAGTGTGCCCTTGTACTTATTAAATATCTCTGTCTTAGAGATGAACAGTCTTCTTTACTGCAATCACTTGGATATCCCTTTGCCAGCTTAATAATTCCTACTCCACTGTTTCTTTTCCCCTCAATCCTTTAGAATTAGCATCTCCTGAAGCCCTCCGAAATTGTAGAGCCCAGTACTGAGCAGAGTTGGCTAATGCTGAACACAGTGGGAGGAGTCCTCCTTAATCATTATCTGTCACCCAGAGGCCTATTTATGTTATCTGTACAAGTAATCACAGGAAACCCGATCAGCTCCCCTCCCCTTGGTTTCAGGCCAACATTCAGCCTGTGTGCAGATTTTGCCACAGCCATTTGACAGGTGACTAATTGCTGCTCTCCCCTCCGGAAAATATCATCCTTAGCGGGCCAGCCTGTCTAAAATCCATCCCTCCATGTCGTGCCCGGACCATAGATGACTCCAAGTGTTTCCTTCGGCAGCTTTCAGCAGCAGAGGGTGGTTGGCAGGGGTTTTCCACAGGAGGTGGTGGCCTTTGTGACAATGCACAAATTCAGAACAGTGTTCCAGGCCCTCCTAGCTTCAGCACTTGGGGCTTTGACTCATAACCTCCAGGCTGCCCCATTCTGTATGGTTCATCCCTCTGCTGGGTCAGCTAACAGATGTAGCTCCTCCTTTGTGAAGTGGCACCCGCCGTGAGTAGCAGCCTTTTTGCAGACTGGTCACTTAGCCTCCTGTCCTGTAAAGTTTGACCACAGCTGGGAGTGTAAAATAACCAGATTGCAGCACATTTGGTTCCTGGTTTCATTTGAGCATCAGGTCAGGATGAAAAGGTTGAACAGATCCAGACCGTCCCAGATGCTCAGTTACCCCGTTACCGCCTCTCCTCTTTTTCTGTGGGGTGTCATGTGTGTGTGTGTGTGTATCCTCTCTTCCTTTTCAAAATTCATGTCTGGGGGTGACCCAAACAAATTGAAGCTTGGTCCATTTTTAGGGTCCCTATAGTTTATATAGAAAATAAAGCTATGGTCTCTTCACATGGAATCCGGGAGCACCCTGACTCAGTTCTCAGTGTTTCCACTTTGGCCATCCTCGCAGTTAGACTCACTGTTTATGCAGTGAGGAAAGTAGCAGATATTAGAGTTGTCCCTTTCTGACATATCTATTCCTGCTCTCTTTCTGTTCCATATTGTTGGCTCGTTACCTTCTTATGCACTTCTTGTGGAGAGTTCTAATTTGCCGTGGGTGAAACTGAATTGCAGCGTATTGAATTAACGTGAAATCTCTGGAATAATGGAACAACCCAGCCACACAATTCCCCTTTAAAAATAGGAAGCTAACAACTTCGTTTTAGTTGTTTTGTAATTAAAGCCACTTTAGAGATTCTCAGGGAGAAGTAGATGGGTGCACTTCCCTCCAGGTGGTTCAAGGCCAGCAGGGTTGATCAACTTTAAAAAGCCCCACCGACAGCTGGGCGCAGGGATGAAGCCACAAAGGAAAGAGGAGACAGCCCCTTTAGAGTGGGAGGAGTTGAGGGGCTAATGTAGCAGTTCTTAAACTCTAGGGAACTGGAGAATCCTCTGGGAGTTGGTTAAAATACATATTTCTGGGGCTCTAAGAGATCTGACATGTCCAAGGCATCTTCATTTACATCAACATCTGCAGATGGCCACAGTCCGTGGCTGGAGGAACACGGCTCCAATGACTTCACCTTCTTGATCTTGACAATATGAAGTCAGATTTTGACGAAGTCATAACAATATGAATAATTCAACGGGATTTGAGCAGCAGTTCTCAGTTGGTGTGTACACTTGGATTATCGCCAAAATACACAACCCAGGCACCACCCCAGCTCTATTAAATTAAAATCTTGGGATTAGGGCCCAAGAATGTGTTTTAAGAGTTCCCAGGTGACCCTCCTGTGCTCACTGAATTAGAAGCCAAGTGTACTCAAGGGCTCACCTCACTTAATGCTGGGAGTTTGTGTACAAAAAAAGGAAGACCTACCAAGGAATTATTTATTTGTTTTTTGCTTTCACCTTTGTTCTCTATTTAATTGTTAAATAGGACTGTCTTGATTATAACCATTAGTGAACAAAGGTGTGCTAGCATTTCACACCTGGGAGCTAGTCAGCCATCATGTTCACAGATAAAACCAATAATCAGGGTCTATGGTCTTATTTAACCAATTATTCTTTTAAGAATACACTTGTAAACAGAAGCATAATCTGTAGATTTAATTTCTTGCAATAAAAATAAAGCAACGTCCAGTTTCAAACACAGTATGAGTAAAATACACTATCTTCATGCGTAACTCTAAGTTATATTTAAAATAGATGAGTAATTTGTCATTTACTTGACAGTTTTGCTCATCAAATATTGGTGTCTACAGTGGCCAGGGACTGTTCTAGGCATGGAGAATACAGTAGTGAGCAAAACAGACAAACATTTCAGCCCTCATGGAGCTGACATTTAAATGGGGAGGGAGACTGTAAACAAGATAAAGAAGTTGAATATAGAGCGTGCTACATACATGCTCAAGAGAAACCCTTTGTGCAATAGATATTTACTGGGAGTCTGCTATATTCTGGCATTGTTCGATGTACACAGATAAATCCCTGCCTTCAAGAGTCTATAATCTAGTACAAAAACTTATTGAATGCCTCTTGGGGAAATATTGATAGTAATGAAATTCATATAGGAAGGAAAGAGCTCCAAAAACTGTATATGCTGTATATATTGCTCTCTCCTTTGATGTTTCTAAGCCTTTTCTCTAACTTCCACTTTTATGCTGTATGTACATACATTGTGGCTAAAACCAGCATAGCTATTTTGTAAAAGAGGGATTTGTAAATTAACAGACAATGCAATTTACTTGCTATTCTCATGGCTAATTATTTCTCTTTGGACCAAGCATTTAGTCTTCTGAAAGCCCCAGAGTTTTGAATACCAATGTTATCATATCAAAATACTTGTTGCTGAGAAACGTATAAAATGTGGGCATTCAAATGTACCTCTGGTACAGTGGTTTGCAAAGTATGAGTCAGGGACCACAGTGTTAGAAGTGCAGATTCTTTTGCCTCCCCCTCACCCCACCCAACCTACACAATCAGAATCTCTGGGGTGGGGCCCTGCAATCTGTATTTTAACGTGCTGAACTGTGAGAACTGGCTCTAGTCATTCAAACACACTTTCACTCACTTGTGGGTACAATTCAGGGCAGACAGAGCAAGCATGTGATTATTCAAGGTGGGAGATGTGTGTGTGAGACCCTGATTCATTGTTTGGCACTTTACTGGAGTCTGCTCCAGACACTATCCACAGTTGAGGCTGGAAACATCTCCACCTCTGTGTTGTAAATGTGTATGAGGTAGGTATAGTCAGGTGAGAAAATCTGCAAACCAAAGATTAGATCTTGTCGCTAAGTAACTAACAAAGGGCCACAAACTGGTTGCATTGTTTCAAAGTATCCTGAAGGCTGCCCTCTTTACCGCTTCAAAAGCTTCTGGGTGGATGAGCCCGGTGTTAACACATGTCACTGTTAACCAGGGCTCTGGTGTTACTTTCTTTCTCTCTGAGTTTTTCCGCCTCTTTTTTTTTTTTTTTTTTAATGATGATGACAGGGTCACAGATGTGCTTGCTTTTTTTTTTTTTGGTGAGGAGATTGGCCCTGAGCTAACATCTGTTGCCAATCTTCCTCTTTTTTTTTTTTCTCCCCAAAGCCCCAGTACATAGTTGTATATTCTAGTTGTAGGTCATTCTAGTTTCTCGATGTGGGATGCACCACAGCATGGCTTGATGAGCGGTGCCATGTCCTCGCCCAAGGTCTGAACCGGCGATCCCCGGGCCGCAGAAGCTGAGCATGTGAACTTAACCACTCAGCCACGGGGCCGGCCCTCCACCTCTTTATATGTCTTTCCCTGCTTCCTTTTTTCTTTTGGTTCAGCTTTCCTCTGGTAGTCTCTTTTCCATAACAGAGGTTTACTCTTATTTTGTTCTTACTGATTTAATATACTGCACTTAGGGAAGACCTTTGCATTCCCTTTTCTTAATTTTAAAAGCAAACAAATGAGATATTTATCAAGAGGTAAAAACTAAATGAAATTAAATTGCTTTTACATTTCGGTTGCCCTTTGAGGTTTTATGAGGGATTTTTTCCTTCACCTCCTCTCTAGCTAGAAAAATCTTGGGGAAAAAATTTGTTAGAGGGATTAGAGTATGGCTAGTCATTTTATTATTATTATATTTTCTGGTAAAGTTTGCGCCCAGTTCCTCCTTCTTAGTTACAAAAATAAAGGAGGTGGTTATATTTGGTCTGAAGTAGTAAGGCCCAATTAGTGTGGAAAACCCTCCAGATCCCCTTTCTGTGTCCTGTCTGTGCCCCCTCCGCCCCCATACCTCACCTGCTCTCTCCAATCTGTTGCAGAGCTTTGCAGACCGATAAGGACTTCTCCTTTCAGGTCATCTACTTTTGCTTTATTTTTGTGGGTGTGTTTCATTAAAGTATAGCGTGCATAAAGAAAAGGCACAGGTCGTGAGTGTACAATGGGATGAACTTGCACAGTGAACATACTCATGTAATTATACCCAGATCAAGATTTGGAACTTTCCCAGCATCCAGCTGCCCTCTCTCCCACATGCCTTCCCCAGTCACTCCCACCTCCTCCCAAGGTAAACATAATCCTGAATCCTAAAACCATAGACTCACTTTGCCTATTTTGGGGCTTTATGTAAATGGAATCATACCATATGTATTATTCTGTGTCTAGTGTCTTTAAGTCAGCCTTATGTTGGTGAGATTCATCTGTGTGTTGCAGGTAGCATTAGTTTATTTTCATTGCTGTATTATATTTATGTGTGAGAACACACCACAACTCATTTATCCACTCGACTGTTGATGAACATTTGTTGTGTTTCCAGTTCAGGGATATTACAGATTCGTGTGCGTGTCCTTTGGTCTATATGTTTGCATTTGTTTTGAGCATATACCTGGGAGTGGGATTGCTGCCTCATAGGATATCCACGCATTTAGCTTTTCACAGAGACTGAAGAGTTTGCCAAAGTGGCTGTAATGAGTAACACTCCCTCCAGCAGTGTATGAGGGTTCTAGTTGCTTCGCGTCCTTTCTAGCACTTAATATTGTTGGTCTTTTTAATTTTAGCCATTCTGGTGCGTGGGTAATAGGTCCCTCTTTGTGACTTTAATTTGCATGTACCTGGTAACTGATGATGTTGAGCACCAGAGTTTATTAGTCTTTTAGATAGCCTCTTTTGTGAAATTCCTTTTCAGATCTTTGGCCATTTTTCTATTGGGTTGTCTGTCTGGTTGATTTTTAGGAGTTCGTTAAATATTCTGGATAGGAACCCATTGGTGGATGTATGTTTGACGTATATTCTCCTACTCTGTGTCTTGATGAACAGACGTTCCTAATTTTAATGTGATTCAGTCCTTCCTTTTGATCCTATTAAAGAAACCTCTACCTCTATCAGAAAGCCCTTCTTCCATGGTATAGTCCAGAATCTTTAGGCCTACATTTAAATATACAATCCACCTGGAGTTGATTTTTATGTAAAGTTTGAGGTGGGAGTTCAGTGTTTATTTTCATCTGTATGTATTATCCCAGGACCATTAGGGTTTTGTTTTCTTGTTATATTTTGATTTTTGCTTAGTTTTTTGTAATAAACTTTTTTATTTTAGAAGACTTTTCAATATACAGAAAAGTTGCAGAGACAGTACAGAGAATTCCCATATACCCCTCGCCCAGGTTTCCCTGTTGTCATCGTCTTATGTTACTATAGTACATTTGTCATAGCTAAGGAATCAATATTGATGCATTATTATTAACTAATAATCCAAGCTTTATTCAGATCAACACCATTAGTTTTTGACAAATGGAAACACTGTTGAAGAATGCTTTGAGACCACATCCTGTGAACTAAACCTTCGATAATAGAGTCCGCTGTAGTCAGAGCTAGCCGTCTTTGGTGTCAGCTGAAGCCAGAGAACTCCACAGGGTCATGTGGTGGAACTTGGATCCTATGAGATCACTGGGAAAGAAGTGTAGAAATCCTACAGTTAAAGGCCCTCTAGGTTTGGGGTCAACATAAACTCTCATTCCTAATTTTGAAAATTCTGCCTTTCTGAGTTTTAAAAGTGTAGTGAATAGCCTTCTCCTTAAGTCCTGTAGACTTTAGTTTTGTAATCTTTAATCAGAGTTTAAAAGACATTGATGATGATTAGCTTTTTATTTTTATTTTTAGTCATCATTCTGTACATTACATTCCCAGGACTTATTTATCTCATAACTTGGAAGTTAGTACCTTTGACCATGTTCACCCATTTCACCCACTTCTACCTCTGACAACCATCAATCTATTCTCTTTATCTCTGAGTTTGAGTTTTTTCTAGACTTTACATAGAAGTGTGATTATACAGTATTTGTCTTTCTCTGTCTGACTTATTGCACTTAGCATAATGCCCTAAGGGTCTATCCATGTTGTCACAAATGGCAAGATTTCCTTCTTTTTTATGGCTGAATAATATTCCATTGTGTGTGTGTGTATCTATATTTATATAACGTTTTCTTTATCCATTCATCTGTCAGTAGACACTTGAGGTGTTTCCATGTCTTGACTATAGTAAATAATGCTGCAGTGAACTTGGTTGCACATATCTCTTCAAGATAGTGATTTCGTTTTCTTTGGATATATACCCTAAAGTGGAATTGCTAGATCAAATGGAAGTTCTATTTTTAATTTTTTGAGGAACTTCCGTACTGTTTTCCATAGTGGTTGCACCAATTCACATTTCCACCAACAGTGCACAAGGGTTCCCTTTTCTCTACATCCTGGCCAACACTTGTTATCTCTTGTCTTTTTTGATAATAATTATTCTAAGGTATGTGGTGATACTGGGTGTGGTTTTGATTTGCATTTTCCTGATGATTAATGATGTAGAGCACCTTTGATGTACCTGTTGGCCATGTATCTGTATGTCTTTGGAAAAATGTCCATTCAGATCCTCTGCCTGTATTTTAATTGGATTGTTTGGTTTTCTTTTCCATTGAGTTGTATGTGTTCTTTATATATTTTGGATATTAATCCCTTATCAGGTATATGATTTGCAAATATTCTCTCATTCCATAGGTTGCCTTTTCATTTTGCTCATGGTTTCCTTTGCTGTGTAGAAGCTTTTAAATTTGATGTAGTCTCACTTGTTTATTTTTGCTTTTGTTGACTTTGCTTTTAGTGTCAAATCCAAAAACTCATTGCCAAGACCGACATCAAGGAGCTTACCCGCTATGTTTTCTTCTAGGAGTTTTATGATTTCAGGTCTTATGTTCAAGTCTTTAATCCATTTTGAGTTGATTTTTGTGTATGGTATAAGTTGTGGTCCAGTTTCATTCTGATCACCAGCCTTTTAGAGAGTCAATATTAATGCCAGATGCCGTGGGAAGGAGACCTCAGTGTGCCTCTTGGGCCTTGGATGTGAGTGTGTGGAGGGCTATGCGCCTGATCCAGTCTCCTCTCCCCTCCTCAGCTTGGGCCTGGGAAGCGTCCGCGTGACCCCTTGGTCTGAGCAAGGCAAGACAGACAGCCGTTGAGACCACTAGACCTTTTGCTGCTGACTTTCCCCGGTCACTTGCCTCTTCTAGACTTCACTGTAACAAGCTTCAGTGGTGCCAGTGTGTGTCAACGTGTCCCTGACGGTCTTGGCTATTTTTGCTTTTTGAGTTAAAGTGCAGACTAAGCCCCCTGTGACCGTCTTTCACTTTGACAGCAGACATTTAAATTACAGTGAGAAAGCAAGGAAAGCCAGCCAGCCATACCCATGAATATTTTATGAAATAGTCCTTGTTCCTTCACCCGCTGTAACCCCTATCCTGGACGACACTTTTATAGCTGACGTGTTGACCTGCGTTGCTTGTCCTTGTCTCGCTTCTCCTCAGTACCATGAGCTCCCGACACTCTGCCAGCCCAGTTGTCTTCACCAGTGCCCGAAGTTCACCTAAGGAAGAGCTTCATCCTGCCAGCTCCTCGCAACTTGCACCTTCCTTCTCCTCCTCCTCCTCCTCTTCATCGGGTCCTAGGACTTTCTACCCCCGCCAGGGCGCTACTAGCAAATACCTGATTGGGTGGAAAAAACCGGAAGGAACCATAAACTCCGTGGGATTCATGGATACAAGAAAGTAAGAATTCTTTTGCTTCTCTTGCTGGGTGGTTTGCTTTTAATATGACAGAGAACGAACAGGTTGGGGCAATTTCCCACAACAGAGGAGGCCAGGCTTGGGGTTGGGAAGAGGTTGGTTTGGTAGGGAAATTATTATTTTTTTTCTAAGCAAAACTGTTCTTAAATTATTTCTCCACCTCATTCTTTAAAAACGTATTGCAAAACATTCGGATTTGAGATCCTTAGATCTCCTAGGAAAGAGAACATGTCTGTTCTCTTTGTCTGAAGAACAAACTTTGACCCTCTGGTGCTAAGCCCACACTCGTCCCTTTGATGATGCTAATCCCAGCCTCCCCACATAGTTCTTAACTGGGCCCCGAGGCACCAGAGAGAATATTAGAAAGTAAGTGACTACCCCTGAATATAAAGGACTTTTTGACCAAGTACAGTAAAAAAAATAAATGATTCATTCAATTATTTTGTTTTTGTTTGTACAAAGGCTGCATTTGGGATTCATACCCTGTGGTCTTTATTAATAAGTCTGTTGCTAATTTTGGCTTAGTAGAGCTAATAGTTTCCTGTATAAGAGGGATTTATTCATCAGACTTTTTATTTTGTGTTTCCCCTTGGTTTTGTTTCTTTAACAAGCTTTTATCCAATAGATTGGAATGTAATTGAACAGAATTCTCCTTTTCTCTCCTTTAATATTTCTCCTTTGACTTACCTCCTTCAGAACCCATCGTGCCCTTGAATCAACCTTGTCAACTTAGTGTCTACCATCTCTTCCCTTCCTTTCAAGGCGTCATCAGAGTGATGGCAATGAAATAGCCCACACCAGGCTGCGTGCCTCAACCAGGGACCTCCGGGCATCGCCCAAGCCGGCCTCCAAGTCCACTATTGAGGAGGATCTCAAGAAACTCATCGACCTTGAAAGCCCAACTTCCGAATCTCAGAAGAACTTTAAGGTACAGGACAGAGCTTGGGGTAAACAGCAGTTAGAGAGAGGCCGGGCCGGGCAGGGCCGCCCGCCGTAGTCGCACCCTCCAGGAAGGGTTGGTGCCCAGTTCCTCCTCATTGGAGCCCACTTCCCGCCATCACCCAGTCTTCCCGATAATTGGTTCACAGTGTTTTCCAAATGTTCTGTCCCTGCCGCCACGTCTCTTCGGTCTGGGTTTATGTTAACCTGTCCCTGCCCCATAGCCTTTTCTTCTTCCAGTGTGCCCTACTCACAGTACACAAGCTACACTCTTTCTTGGACATTATTACTCACATAACATTGCTTCTCAAAACTCTGCAGACACACCTGTGGCTCCCTTGTCAGACAGAAAATTTTCTGTCTAAAAGGACTGTAGTGCCTTTTGTCCTGAGGGTCTCCGTCCTCCCACAGGTAGCCCCCAATTCACTTCCTGCCCTCTGTGCCCACAGTATCCTGCGCTCTGGCCTTCCCTCTGCCCCCTGAACCTGGCCAGGCAAACCTCCTGGCTACACATTGTGTGCTCTTCAGTCACTCAGAGAAACTGCCTGAGGGACACTCACTCTCCTCTCCCCCATCCCCCGAAAGCCACCTCTTCATTCTAGCAAACTAAGTCTACACATTTCCCATTAGAACTTTCTAGACTACTTCATAAAGCCTTCTCTCCACTTCCCTCAGAATTCCAGACTGTAAATGCCTTCTCTAAACCCAGCCCCCCTCCCCATCAGGTCCCTTGCACTTACTCAGAATCTGTGTTTGTGTGGCAGTGGCCAGACCTTTGCATGACCACCTTGGAAGGGTTTGTTCTGTTCACCTCAGCTTGGGAGACCCCTGAAGTCTGCTTAAGACTCTCCTCTCCTTGTCCTCTAAAGTCTTGTCCCCTGAAGTATGCAGTCTCACACTCCCAGGACTCGGAGCTGGTGTTTGTTGAGCGGGGCGGAAAGGTATTTCACTCTGAGCATAAAGTACTTCTGTCCACGGGGTATTGGTCAGCCCCAGGAGAAGGGAGTCCACCCCTGGGAAGGTCACGGTGGCAAACTTTGACACTTTCTGTTCTCTAGGTTCTTGATTAAACAATTTGTAGTCTGTTTGAAGTGACTAGAAAGCTTAAGAACAACTTTGAGAGTTGATTGAAAACGGAAGCTAAAATATTTCCTTCACCACTCACCATCCTTAAACTGTGTTCAGAGGGTGAGAGGCGTGCCCAACTGGATGAGCTGTATGGTCTTATCCCGTTCAGGCTTTCTCCTCACCATTCTAGTGTGTGTGCACATGTACACGCCTCTCTGTCTGTGCACACCCATGTGTTTGCCTCCAGATAGGTCAGATATACCTCCTAAACTTAAAAATCAACATTTACAGAAATTAAACTCCAGAGACCATTCTGGAGGTTTGCTGAGAAACAAATGATTTATTACATAAATATATTAACATCGTAAATCATTTTAAAGATTTGCCATTCTCGATTTCTGTAATTTCTGTTTTATAGGCCGACACTCAACAGTTCCGACTCATCACCCAGGGTACAAATGGTTTCCTTAGCAACCTCCCCAAAGATGGTGCTTAAAACTTCTTTCTTTATTCATCCAAACCCAAAGAGGTGTATTAAAATGTTTAAGTACCAGTTTCAAAATAAAAATAATTCCAGATTTTTCCTTTAAGGTTAGAGGAAAATAAGACTTGCCCTGAAAGGAATCTTTCCTTCAATTCTTAGTTTAACATTTTTGGAAAGGGGCAAGCTTCGAGCTTTCATGCTTTTCATTTACTCATGCACTGGAAATAATTGAAAGCAAATGTCTGTTTTGCCTTTCTTCCAGGTCTTGGCTTTTATTTCCAAAGTGAATTACTTTAACATTCCTATTTGAAACAGGGGTGCACTTTCTTTATGTTGTGACTATATTATAGACCCTCTGCAAAGAAAGAGCTTCTGCTGGCTGAACTATTACTGGAAAGGCTGGAAGCAAGAGCTGGAAATATGCTCTGTTTTCTCTCCGGTCTCATCCTTTTTGACCGGGTTTGGTTTCTGATGAGTTCAGCTAAGTAGCTCTGTGTGTCTTCTGAGATTCATTGTCTGAATAACCTGGCTCTGCTGTGTCAGGAAGGCCAGCATGCCCTGGAGAAGTCTTGCAGGCCCCGCCTGGCTCCAGGCTGCAGGCCTCTACATCAGGCTTTGGGGAACAGGAGTGGCCAGCTTTGGGCTGTGATACTTGGAACCTACTCACACCACAGTGGCTTTCTTGGATAGCAAGTGCTACCTACAGGCGATCGTTAATATCAAATGACAGGGTCAGTCCCAGGCTCGTTTGCCAGCAGAGTGAGATGTCTGCTGCAGGACGGGGCAGCACTCTGCAGGGCAGGCTGTAGCTGAGAGGTGGGTGGCTGCAGGGCCCCTACCTCAAGGAAAATGGCAGAGCTGTAACATTCTAAGAAACGTCATTGGCAGACAAAGATGGGCTAACCTGATTTTCCCTGAGGGCAGCAGTGGCACGTGAACAGACAACAGTGCAAGCCGTTATCCTGCGTTCTGGCCAACACTCTCGGGTGTACGCCAAAGGAAAAGGCTTAGGCAGCTCTGGTGTTTAGGAAGAGCTGATACTCGGTTATTGCAAGTGCAGGTACCCCATTTCACGGATAGCCAGGACGACTGGAAAGACAGAGAACAGGAGACTGACCTGGAGCAAGATGCCTCTTCTCCACCTTGTATGTTGGCTTTGAAGTAGAGGACCAGAGTAGAGTAGTGGTGCCCAAAACATTTTAAAGCTCAGGAACCCTTTTTTCAAATAAAATTATACAAGGAAGCCCACTATGTAGAACTGAGAAAGCAGAATTTCTCTGATAGAAGAGGTACATGTCATGGGGTCTTGGGTGCCGCCTGAACATCTCCCCTCCCCAAGCAGGGGTGCTGTGAGGAACTCTTAGGGCTCCTTGGAGCGTAATTTGAAACCCTCTGGCCTGATGCTCTCTAAAATCCCTTCTGAGTCTGCCATTGACTCCACTGTGGTTCTTTCTCGGGAGCTGGCAGCAGCGGGCAGTGCCACTCTCCAGTCTCAGGTGTCACCTGCAAGGAAGGCAGAGGGCGCTCTTGGGCACTGGATAGGTGTGCACACCTTTAATACTGGGATTGAATGGGGATGGGGTGAGGGGTCATCCCAACGTGTTTGGACAAGACTAGGTCCTGCTACTTTTTTATCGGTGGGAAGCATCTAGGCAGATTGCTTTCTTCCATCTCCCACCCTGCCCGCCTTTAATGCAGGATGTTACAACTTCTAATAAAGCACAGTGCTCAAAGGATCTCTTCAAGGTGGCTGTTTATTGCCCTGGAGTATACTAATATTTCCCAAAGAGGCTGAAGCTAGAAGTGGTGGAAAATCTCTCTCCTGTCAAACCATCGGGGTGGGGAGACTCACCGGGAAAGGAAATCCTTCAGCTGAACCCAGAGGTCCTCACAGGGATTGAGAGCAGAGTGAGAACATAGAGCTCTGATGAGCTCTGGCCTGGCAGGCGGGAGCCTGATTGGGTAGTCCTTGAACCTTGCGGATGGAGGAGTGATGATGTGGTTTTATTATTTTTTTTTTTTTAAATACACTTAGCAAGCCATTTACCCTCTCTAAGACCCACTCTTCTCTGTAAAGTGAGAAGAGAAATTGTCGTTTCTATACCAAGTTCCCTCCGCTTAGAGACTCACAAAGCATTTGTCACAGCAGCTTAGTTTTCCAGGCGGCACATACATACCTTGGGTTTAACTCATCATGAATTTTAAGAAGTGAACACCATCTTTACACAATTGGCTACACCTGGGGCTCATTTACAATGCATTTGATTAATCATTTTTTCATGTTTATGCAGCAGCCATGCACACCACATTGTGAGCAGCTTTGACTTGATTAACCCTTGGCTTGTTGGACGGAAGTGCATTGGACTCAGAGCACATGAATGAACCTGAGCGCTAACTCTGTATTCCCAGCCTCCTACATGGAGCCATTGCTGTACCATTCTCTCTCTGCCGCCTGCAGGGTGTCATGGAAAGGCCCCTGGTGGCTTTCTGCCAGCAGTGACTCAGCCCTCCTCCTCACAGCTTCACCTGTTCCCCACATTCTTCTCCCCTCCAAGGTGAACAGCAGTCTGAAAGGAACTGAATACAGATAGTGTTGTTGTTAACAGATCAAATACTCTTGGAAGCTGGATATTTAAATATTTAAATAACAATATTTACATATTGTTAATGCGTCTGTCCTTTCTCAGTGAATGAGATTCTCAGAAGCTGGCTTTTTGCAGAAAAATCTCAAGGAAAATCAAATTGAGTCACAAAGGCAAAAGACATCAACAAGAGATACAGCTAGCTGGAACTTTTGTTGGGTATAACTAAATAAATGTTTGTCATTTATAAAGCTGACTTCCCAATTTTTATTTCATGAATGGAAATCCATCTCAAAAAGTAAATTATCTCCAAAACTCATTAAACATAATCTTAGATGTTAATGTTAAGAGCCACCTATTATTTGAGTTAATACGTCATGATGATCAAATGCTCTGTTGCCCAGCAACCATGTCATCACTTGACAAGTTTCTGAGGAGACCTTCCTGACGCTGGCTGTTCCCCTGGGGACCATAACATTATTTCGTAATACCACTGATACAAGCTTTTGTGATTAGTCCAGTGTTTCATTTAATCCTCATAATAATCCTGAGAGGTATTGTGCCCCCATGTCATAGACGGGGAGTTGGGCTCAGAGAGATTACATGATTTGGTCAGTGACACAGGATTCAAATAAAATTCAGATTTGATCCTCGTCTTGTTCTTAACCATGACATGATGTTGATGAATTCACTTACTCATATATCTGAGTTGTGAACCGAGCGCTAATAGGCCACAGGAAGCACGCTGGGCTCTGAGGAGGTGCTCACTGGGATCTCCCATTTTAGCTCCTAAAGATGTGGACGGATGGCGGAGCTCAAGGCTTCTGGATTTGAAGGATGTGTCTGAGAGCAGCAGCTTCGTTAACCCACCCGTCCCCCAACCTAGGTCTTGGGTGTGTGACCCAGAAAATTGACTTTCTGTTGTCTCGATGCTGTTTTTCAGTTCCAGGCGCTCTCCTCTCCTCAGTCCCCTTTCCCTACCACCCCGACCTCGAGGCGGGCCTTGCACAGGACGCTGTCAGATGAGAGCATTTACAGTGGCCAGAGGGAGCACTTTTTCACCTCAAGGGCTTCGCTTCTGGACCAAGCCCTGCCCAACGACGTCCTCTTCAGCAGCACCTACCCTTCTCTCCCCAAGTCTCTTCCACTGCGGAGGCCTTCTTACACCTTGGGGATGAAGTCGCTGCATGGTAAGTTTGCTTTCAGCTGCAGCCAAACAGCTCTGCTGCTGATGGCCATGTCCTCAGAAACAGCCGCCACTGAGTTTGCTCAGAGAATGATCACTGGAGGGAGGCCTGCTTGTATACTCAGATCAACCCCTCCCTCATTCAGCCTCTCACCAGGAATTGCAGACCACAGGGTACACATGTGACCACAGGGTACAGACATTCAACCTCACCAGACCATAAGAGTCATCTGGGATGCTTGTTTTTTTTCTTTTCTTTTTTCTTATCGAGGTATAATTGACATATAACATTATATTAGTTTCAGATGTACAGTTTATTGAAGAAACGATCCTTTCCCCATCATGTATATTCTTGGCTCCTTTGTTGTAAATTAATTGACCATATATTTGTGGGTTAATTTCTGGACTCTCTATTCTGTTCCATTGATCTGTGTGTCTGTTTTTATGCCGGTACCACAATGTTTTAATTACTCTAGCTTTGTAGTATAGTTTGAAATCAGAAAGTGTGATGCTTCCAGCTTTGTTCTTTCCTAACATTGCTTTGGCTATTCGGGGTCTATGGTGGTTCCATACAAATTTTAGGATTGTTTGTTCTATTTCTGTGAAAAATGCCATTGGAATTTTGATAGAGATTGCATTGAATCTGTAAATTGCTTTGGGTAGTATGGACATTTTAGCAATATTAATTCTTATAATCCATGAGCTAAGAAGATTTTTCCATTTATTTGGGTCTTCTTCAGTTTCTTCCATCAGTGTCATAGTTTTCAATGTACCAGTCTTCACCTTTGTTAAATTTATTCCTAGGTATTTTATTCTTTTGATGCAATTGTGAGTGGGATTGTTTTCTTAATTTCTCTTCCAATAATTTGTTATTAGTGTATAGAAATGCAACAGATTTTTGCATATTGATTTTGTATCCTGAAACTTTACTGATTCATTTATTCTGAGTTTTTTGGTGGAGTCTCTAGGGTTCTTTCATATAATATTATGTCATCTGCACATTGTGAGTTTTACTTCTTCCTTTTTGATTTGGATGCCTTTTATTTCTTTTTCTTGTCTAATTACACTGGCTGGGAATTCAATACTGTGTTGAATAAAGTGGTGAGAGTGGACTTCCTTGTCTTGTTCCTGACATTAAAGAAAAAGCTTTTAGCTTTTTACAAGTAAGTATGATGTTAACTATGGGCTTGTCATATACGGCCGTTATTATGTTGAGATATGTTCCCCCATACCCACTTTGTTGAGAGTTTTCATTATAAATGGATGTTGAATTTTGTCATATGCTTTTACTGCATCTTTTGAGAGAATTATATAGGGTTTTTTTTCATTTTGCTAATCTGGTGTATCACATCGATTGATCTGTGGATGTTGAACCATCCTTGCATCTCTGGAATAAATCCCACTTGATCATGGTGTATGATCATTTTAATGTATTGTTGAATTCAATCTGCTAATGTTTTGTTCAAAATTTTCACATCTATATTTATCAGGGATGTTGGCCTGTAATTTTTTTTTTCTTGTGGCATCCCTGTCTAGTTCTGGTATCAGGGTAATGCTAGTCTTGTAAAATGAGTTTGGAAGTGTTCCCTCCACTTCTGTTTTTTGGGAGAGTTTGAGTAGCATTAGTATTGATTCTTCTTTGAATGTTTGGCAGAATTCACCAGTGAAGCCCTCTGGTCCTGGCCTACTGATTCAGTCTCCTTACAAGTAATCGGTCTGTTCAGATTTTCTATTTCTTCATGATTCATGAGTCTTGGGAGACTATATCTTTCTAGGAATTTATCCATTTCTTCTAGGTTATCCAATTTGTTGACACATAATTGTTCATAGTGGTCTCTTATGATCCTCTTTCTATTTCTGTGGTATCAGGTATAACATCTCTTTCATTTCTGATTTTATTTATTTGAGTCTTCTTTTTTTCTTGGTCAATCTACCAAAAGTTTTGTCAGTTTTATTGATCTTTTCAAAGAATCAGCTCTTCATTTCATTGATCATCTTTGTTGTCTTTTTTTTTTTTTTTTTAGGAAAATTAGCCCTGAGCTAACATCTGCTGCCAATCCTCTTTTTGCTGAGGAAGATAGGCCCTGAGTTAGCATCTGTGCCCATCTTCCTCTATTTTATATGTGGGACGCCTGCCACAGCATGGCTTGATAAGCAGCACATAGGTCCGTTCCCAGGATTCAAACCGGTGAACCCTGGGCCACTGAAGCGGAGCGTGTGAACTTAACCGCTGTGCTACTGGGCTGGCCCTCTATTGTCTTTTTAGTGTCTATTTCATTTATTTCCATTCTGATCCTTATTTCCTTCCTTCTAACTTTGAGGTTTTGTGTTTTTTTGTGGTATAAAGTTTTGTTGTTTTTTTTTTCGAGGTGTAAAGTTAGGTTATTTGAGATCTTTCTTGTTACTTGATATAGGCATTTATTGCTATGAACTTCCCTATTAGAAATGCTTTTGCTGCATCCCGTAAGTTTTGACATATTGTATTTCCATTTTCATTTCTCTCAAGATATTTTTTGATTTCTTCTTTGACCTATTGGTTGTTTAGTAGCATGTTATTTAATCTCCACATATTGGTAAATTTTCCACTTTTCTTCTTGTAATTAATTTCAAGTTTTATACCATATATGATTTCAGTCTTCTTAAATTTCTTAAGACTTTTTCGTGGTCTAACATATGATCTTTCCTGGACAGTGTTTCATGTGTACTTGAGAAGAATGTTTTGTATTGCTTTTGGATGGAATGTTCTGTATCTTTTAAGTCCATCTGGCTAATGAGTCATTAAAGGCCAATGTTTTCTTATTGATTTTCCGTCTGCATCATCTATCCATTGATGAAAGAAGGGTGTTAAAGTCCATTACTATTATTGTATTGCCGTCTATTTCTCCCTTTAGGTCTTTAATATTTGCTTTATCTATTTAGGTGTTTCTGTGTTGGGTGCATAAATATTTACAAATGTTATATCCTTTTATTGGATTGAATCCTTTATGATTATGTAATGTCCTTCTCTGTCTTTTATTACAGCCTATTTTGTTTGATATAAGCATAGCTAGCCCTGCTTTCTTTTGGTTTCCATTTGCATGGAATATCTTTTTCCATCCCTTCACCTTCAGTCTGTGTGTGTCCTTACATCTGAAGTGACTCTTTTGTCGGCAGCATATAGATGGGTCTTGTTTTTGTATACATTGAGCCACTCTGTGTCTTTTGATCGGAAAATTTAGTCCATTTACATTAAAGTATTGATAGGCGTGTACCTATTCGCATTTTGTTAATTGTTTCTGGCTATTTTGTAATTCTTCTCTTCCTTTTTTCTTCTCTTGTTCTCTTCCTTTGTGGTTTGATGACTTTCTGTAGTGGTATGCTTAGGTTCTTTTCTCTTTCTCTTTTGTGTATCTGCTGTAGGTTTTTGCTTTGTGGTTACCATGGGGCTTATATATAACAACTTATGTTTATAATAGTCTATTTTCAGTTATTAACAACTCAACTTTAAATGCATTCTAAAGCTCTACATTTTTACTCTCCCTCCAACATTTTATATTTTTTATGTCACAATTTATATCTTTCTATTTCTTAACTAATTATTGTAGTGATTTTTCCTACTTTTGTCTTTTAACCTTCATAAGCCTTATAAGTGATTAATCTACCACCTTTACTATATATTTACCTTTTCCAGTGAAATTTATGCTTTCATATTTTCTTGTTACTAATTAGCACCCTTTCTTTTCAGCTTAAAGGAGTCCCTTTAATATTTCTTGTAAGGCCAGTCTAGTTGTGTTGAACTCCTTTTAGCTTTTGCTTATCTGGAAAACTCCTTTTCTCTCCTTCAATTCTGAGTGACAACATGCTGGTTACAATATTCTTGGTTGGCAGTTTTTTTCTGTGAGCACTTTGAATACATTGTGCCACTCCCTTCTGGCCTGCAGAGTTTCTGATGAAAAATATGCTGATAGTCTTATGGGGGTTCCTTGTATGTAACAAGTTGTTTTTTTCTTGCTGCTTTAAGATTCTTTCCTTGTCTTTTTTGTTTGTTTTGTTTTTTTACTGAGAGAGATTTGCCCTGAGCTAACATCCACTGCCAATCGTCCTCTTTCTTTTGTACGTGAGCCGCTGCTGCAGTATGGCCACTGACAGACAAGTGGTGTAGGTCCACGTCCAGGAACTGAACCTGGGCCACCAAAGCACAGCATGCCCAACTTAACCACTAGGCCACTGGGGCTGGCCCTGTCCTTAACTTTTGACATTTTAATTATAATCTGTTTTGGTGTGGGTTTCTTTGGATTCATTTTATTTGGAATTCTCTGGACTTCCTGGATCTGGATGTCTGTTTCCTTCCTCAGTTTAGGGCCGTTTTCAGCCCCTTTCTTTCTCTCTTCTCCTTCTAGGACCCCTGTAACGTGAATATTGGTCTGCTTGATGTGGTCCCATTAGTCCCTTAAGCTATCTTCACTCTTTTTCATTTTTTCTTTTTGCTGCCCTGATTGGGTGAGTTCCACTGTCCTGTCTTTGAGTTCAGTGATCATTTCTTCTGCTTTATCTAGTCTGTTCTTTGGTATTTTTCAGTTCAGTTGTTGTATTGTATTTCATCTCTGTGACTTCTATTTGGTACTTTTTTATATTTTCTGTCTCTTTGTTGAAGTTCTCACTTTGTTCATCCATTCTTCTCCCAAGCTTGGTGAGCATCTCTATGACCATTATTTTTGGACTCTTTACCAAGTAAATTACTTATCTCGATTTCATTAAGGTCTGTTTTTGAAATTTTATCTTGTTCTTTTGTTTGGAATGCATTCCTTTCTATCTTCATTTTCCTTGACATTCTATATTAGTTTCCATGCTTTAGATAAAACAGCCACCTCTCCCAGTCTTAAAAGGGTGACCTCCTATAGGAGATGAACCTCGTCATTCAACCCTGCCGTAGCTCTTGGTTGTCCGTCAAACCTTTGTGATTGTCCAAGAGCCTGCTTTATTTTTAACAGCTTCCAGTAGTTGAGGGTGTACTAAGTCCTCATTGTCCCAAAGGAGAGGATCTCAGTCAGCACCTAGATTCAGGCTAGTTTGAAACCAGACCCTCTGGCAGCAGCTTTTAAAGCATGTAAATATATACCATCCTGTGTAATGCACATATAAGCCCCACTGGCCACCAGAGCCTGGTGATCTAGAGTTGTCCCCTGGGCAGCAGTCACAAATATCAGGGTACCAGATGAGTGTATAAACTCCTTTCTGGGAGATACCAGGGCAAGCTGGACCAAAGTAGAGGGAGAGCATAAAGATGGTGTCCACTGGCCTCTGTTCCCTGAGAGCATCTCCATAGGACCCTAGTCGTGTACCAAACCTGAAGCCTGCCCCTCGGCCAAAGCTCCAGAACAAGCCGATAGGCTTCTTTCACAAAAAGACAGGTTTGCTTCAGTCTGCTGTCTGTGCAGTGCCCTTGGGGTGGTAGCACCTGCCAAGAAGTGTCTCTCCAATTGTTATAGTCCCATAGGACCCAGGGACACAAGCTCGCCTGGCCACCAGAGCCAGGCAATCAAGGGGCATCTCTAGGAGGCAGCCTCAACCACCAGGGCACCAGCTGCATGTCAAAGCTCCCATCTGAGATGCTTGTTAAAAACACAGTTTCCCAGACCTTACCCAAGACCTGCTGAATTTGAATACAAAGGTATAGGCTGGGATTTAGTATTTTTACCAAACACCCCAGCTCCTATTAGGATTGGGTAAATTTGGCTAATCCCAGATTAGTTATTTCTTCACGACTTGTGTCCACTGGCTCCCTCCAACCACCATAAGAACTCAGACTCACCATTTTTTTCCTGTCTTTCCTAGGCTGTGAGGATATTGCTGGTGGTGTCAGCCATTCATTTATTGACTCTTTTTCATCCAGTAAGCAAGCGTTATTTTAGGAAAAGGAGTACTAATGATGGGATACCTCCATGTTCTTGCCTTTGGTTCATAAATACCTTATCTGCTCTTTGACCTAACTAGATCCCAGTTTTATTAAGGGCCATATTCTGGGACTATGGCTTTAAATTTTTTCTTTTCCTGTTTCCTCTGTCCAGCTCCCTTCCAGGGTTCTGCCCCTCCCCTCCCCACTGTGACTCATCCCAGCAGATACCTGTTACCGAACTTGTCTTCGTACTTGTTTATTAAACGTATGGCTATAACCCCACATTCCGTCTGCCCTTTTTCCTTCTGGGAATTCTGTGTCCGCTCGTACCCACATTTCTTTTCCTTCTGCTGCTTCTCTGGAGCAGCATTTTCTTTAAGTCTCCTGCTTTCCTAGTTTGCTTCTCCCTGCATCATTCTTGAGCTCTCACCCTACTCTCAACAAATGTTCCTCCACCATCTCCATCCTGCCCACTGCTCCCCTATACGGTCCCCTCACCTCTCTCCCCTGTCACTCACCAGCACTCAGGGATCAGGACCACTTCCCCGGCTCCCTCCCCCAAGTCTGACTGCAGCTTGAATCTGGTTTCCCTTTGTTCCAACAGGTCACCCCCAGTGAACCAAAGGTGACACATAAAATGACCACTTTCTACCATCCAGACTCTAGAAAAGTCCTCATAGCGACCTAATGGTCCCCACCTTGGGACCAGTCTCCCCTGACCCTTTTGCCTACAATTCCCTGTCTGCTTTGAATGCTTTTCTCACTTCCCTACACTTTTTTTTTTCCACCTTTGCAGCAATAAGTACAAACCGTTTGTGAAGGCTTGTCTGCATGTGGCATGTCAAAGTAGGCTCTGTCTTCTCGAAGCTTATACTCTAAGAGAGCAGCCTAGAAATCACACACACGGTCATGTCCAGCCAAGGAAGCCTGGAGTTAAAGGCCAGGCTCCGAGGAAGGGAGGGAATGAGCCGCCCTCTCTGAGCGCCTTCCCGTCACCTCTTCTTGCTTTCCTGGAAGGCAGGCAGCAGCGTGTGATGCATGTGCTGCACTGAGCACTCCTTTTTGGGCTGGTCCCGCAGCCCCAGCCCATTTGGTGTCAATACCACTGAAATATGTTTGGGCATTGGGGAGGGGCAACTCCTTTTTTCCCATATGGAAATTTGGGGGCCTAGAGATAAAAGGGCAGAAGGATGGTGAGTGACACACAGAATTGTCTGTCCCACCTACTTACCCTTGGTGGGAGCAAGCTTAAATAGAACTGAGCATTTAATATCTGGCAGTATTTGTTGATTTCCATTTACTCCTAATTTTGCTAATTTTAAGCACATTAATAACTAGCAGCTGCACTTCAGAGCAGTTCTTTATGTAATTTGAAAGGGAAAACAAGCACTAAATATACTCTGGTTTACCAGGCTATCATAATTATCCAAACTTTTAACTCCTTGTAAACAGGTATTTCTGGAGTTGTTTATAGATTTTAACTGAAAGCTTCACTTTTAGCTGTCGGTTTGCGTGGATTTTAGTGTCACAGTCACATCCTGAGAGCTGCCGTTCTTGTGCAAGTGCACACTCTGCCATTGTTTCCATCCCAGCTTCTGCCCTCCCAAGAGCATTTACATTTCATGAGCTGTGTTGCCCTGGCCCCAACCTGCCCTCTCTGTTCTCTGCCTACATGAGCTTGAGCAGTAGCAGTGTGCCCTCAGATGGCACAGAGTGGCTCATGGCACCCGTTCCTCCCTGCCCCGGGCTAAGCAAAGGTTAGCTGTTACAGTAGTTTAATATTTGTATTGAAAAAATTGTCACCGTAGAAGGGGCTCGGATGCTGGAGTGCTGTACTCCAGAACTGATCCTAGGACTGGCTTCCTGTGTCCTCGGGGAGGAGAAGGATGCCTCCCCCGGTCCTCACATCACCCTCCTGCGTTCTTCCGTCTGGGTAGCCCAGCGTCCCACATGCTCTCTCATGGTCCTCACACCACCCTGGTTACGTCCAACTGCGGAAACCAGTGGGCCATCCCCGGGACACGGGACAGATGTGGGCCAGGGGTGCATCTGTCCCTCAGCAGTCCCAGGGATGCGGAGTCCACAGGGAGGGTGGGTCAGATCCCAGGTTCATTGCAGATAAAAATAAGCCTGAATCTCATGACTCTGTGAGGAAGAGCAAGACGCTGGAGCTGCCCAGGGTCCCACTGTGGACAGACGGCTCCCACAAAAGCAGACCTATTGCCTCAGTGCAAAACTAACTATTCCATGACTCGCTCCATTAGAAATGCAGTAGTGAGCGGTTGTCAAAAAATGAATTGAGACTGGAGGAAGCCAGTTCCTAGTTCAGCTGGGCTGTAGAATGGCCACAAATGGCCTGTGAGAGTAGAAACTGATTCCAGGTCACGAAAGACTTACACATCTATTGTGGTAACAGGAAGTGGGTAAGACCTAGAGTGGGTCTCCTGTAGGAAGTGTCTTATCCCTCGTCCCCTCCTGCAGGAGAGTTCTCGGCCTCGGACAGCTCCCTCACCGACGTCCAGGAGACCCGCAGGCCGCCCATGCCTGACCCCGGCCTGATGCCCCTGCCCGATGCTGCCGCCGATTTGGATTGGTCCAACTTGGTGGACGCCGCCAAGGCCTATGAGGGTGAGTCCAGGGAAGGTCCAGGCAGGACAGCCCAGACCCTGGCAGGGCCATGCTGAGGTGTGGGCAGTCAGTGCTCTGTGCAAGTCCCCGGGCTCTTGGCTTCTCTGACACACGCTTCACCGGCCCGGCCAGAAACCAGTTGAGCTGACGGTTACTGAGCGCTCCGCGGGGTGCACATCATCTGCGTTGGTCAGGTGGACCTACTGTCTCCTCTGCACAGGAGCTCATCCCTTGGATGCCTTGCCTCCCCGTGGGGGGGGCAGAGAGGAGAATCCCAGCTGTCGCTCGACTGAAGGGAACATGTACCCAGAGAGTCTTTCATCACGTCGTAAAGACATCATTGCTAAACGCACAGTTGGATCTGCCAGGATGCTTGTCCAGCTTGGCCCTGCCCCAGTGCCGACAAATGCTGGGCGCTCCCTTTGCCCTGCTCGTTCATCTCCTGTGTGTGGTGGCACGTTTTCTGTCTGCCTTGTTCCTGTGCCAGCCCACCAGCTGTGTGCTTGCATTAAGCCAGTGGTTTCTAGAGCAGGCCCTGCGCTGGTGCTGACCTGCTCTGCTGACACGTCAAAAACTGAAAGTAATGCTGTCTGTGTCGACACGAGGTTGTCATACGGCTTTTTTTTTTTTTTTAATAGACTGTATTCTAAGATTATCATTCCACATTTTCTAGTGCTAAAATGTTCTTTGTAAAATGATGATGATAGCAGATGATTGGTTTCTGTTTTTATCGCTCTTCCTTAGAATAATTGAAAGTTGCTATTCAGTGAGGCCCCAGTTTTCGGGGGGAATGGACTAGACCACAGAATTCAGAAGTCGGGCAACCCTGGAGTAGTCAACGACGAACCCCCATTTTAGGCAATGGCAATTCCCCGTTATTAACTTGATCTAAATTTCAATTTGCTGGTCACTCTCCTTCATATCAAATGGTAGAAGTTTTGTTTTTTTGTGGAAGATTTTTTTTAAAGTTTGATTTTGTTTTCTTGGCTCAAGCTGTGAGTTGGTACATTTTGAAACACAGGTGATGTGAACCTGAGACAAAGCCCACCAAGACGGCCAGCGTCTTGTGGAGAACACACTTCAAGAACTGGCAAGAGGCTTCCTACTAGCCCTTTAATGCCTTTGATATCATCGCTGAGTGGAAAGCCTTGGTCTGGAAATTTGGCACAAGGCCTGTTTCCAGGGAAACAGTTAGTTGAATGCTACTTTGATGAGCTGAGGAAAAGCAGGAATAGAAATTGATTCACAGCAACTATTTTTAATGAGAAATTACAATGCTACTCTCGTCTTACAGCTGAAACAATAATGTCTTTTTCCTGTGCAGGTTGAGAGAGAAGGTTTCCGACGCCTTCCTGTGCATTGATTAGATCAGACTGTCCATGGAGGCCATTTGTTGACTTCTGAGAGGTAGGGCCCAGGATGTGGTTCCAAAATACTGAGAGCTTTCTTATCTTCTTCCCAGTCCAGAGAGCCTCGTTCTTTGCTGCTAGTGATGAAAACCATCGCCCTTTGAGTGCTGCATCCAGCAGTGACCAGCTTGAGGACCAGGCTCTGGCCCAGATGAAGTCTTATAGCAGGTTGGTCACCCAGTGGCAAGGGCGCCACTCTGCACTATGCGTCACCTCCGCTAGTGACTGCAGATGTGGGGAAGAGGAGACGGAAGCCACACGGAGTAGCTGAATGAAGCTCATCACCACGGGGCCGGCACTTCACATTCTAGTTAGAACACTTTGTAACTAAATACTGTAAACACGATTAAACTGTTCGTGATGACTTTGTCATAATTATGAATGTTCACTATATTTAATGCCATGATACAGTTATAGCTTCAGGCTTATTAGGCAAGGTTAGAGAAGTTGTTTGCACTAAATATCCCCAGATTCCTGAGTGTTCAACCCTTGGGTCTGGATTTTGAGTGTCTTCCCCAGCTGTCAGTTGGTCATGCTTGTAAATGTGCCTGGCATCTGAACGGCTCCTGACATGCTTCAGATCAACTCTGTTCAAAAGCTGGGTCACCAGGAGAGTTAAGAGTGTATGTAAAATAAAAAGAAAGAGGCAATAACTGAGGCCAGAGAGTTTTCTTATGAGTTAATAGTATGGACTCTGACTTCTGTTTAACTGTGCGGTGGCTCGCTTCCATCTTGCCCTCAGTTTCAGGTGGTGTCGTTGTTGGATAAGCGGGTACTATTCCTACATATTAAAGCATGGCAGCAGGCAGCCGTGGAACACGTAGTAAGCACTCCTTGATGCGGAATAATTTCATCAATTTGAAATCTCTCCTCTTAAAACCTTTCAAGGATGAGTAAGAATCTGGGTATCTATAAAACTTGGGCAGAAACAGACAATAGCAGGAAAAGTGAGGTTGGTGCAGATTGCACACGTATCCTACGGGACTTGTGGGTGAAGACTTCGGAGCAGGTCTGCAACAAAACGCTCTTCGTGGAGAAAGTGTTAGACTAAGGGGTCATTTGTTATGAGTGTAACGCACAGAGGCTGCGTCCTCTCTTGTCATTGGGACACCTGGGGCAGGAGAGTAGCAGTGAGTTTGGCTGTTGAGAACATTTTAAAGAATTGCAGTCGAGGGGAGAACCCCAAATCTACCTTCTTAGGATGAGGCCTCCCACAAAGAGAAGTGTGAGTGAGCAAAATCCATTTTCCTGAGAAAGGATTGTTGAACAGTTCTTACATCTTTGTGGACTCCTAAGATGAGGGTGAGAATTGGCTCTTGTCTTTGTTCAATGTGGATGAACAAATGCAAATGGCATTAAATATGTTTTAAAAAATTATCAGTGCACACACAGATCCAGAATTCATTTTGAAAACCTTCAGAAGTCAACATAGGCTCCTGCGAGTTGCTTCAGTCCTGACAGCCTGCAGTGGCTGCGTCTGCTCTCCAGGAGCTGGGGCAGTGGACTCGGCTCGTGGAGGCTGCCCCCAGCCTCAGTGCTTCTGTTCAGCACCACCTTTTCTACCACATCTTTGGCCTTCAACCCACCCACATCCAGCCTGCTTGTTGTACCATAGTGTGTGGCCGTAGATTGCAGCTGACCACTTCCCTTTTAGAATCCATTCATTGTCAGCTTTTAATTAATTGGCCTGTCTTAGAAGTTTGGAGGTCGTTATTATTTCATTTATTTACAGCCTTGTGACACTCCGTGCCACTGTGAGTTTTGCCTTTGGGGCTTGTTGTAGATCTAGAATCAGCAGAAGACGTCAACACAGCTCATCTTAGGTCAGGAATTCTACCTTGAACTTTGACTTTTAAAGTAAGGAATACCTTTTATTCCATGATTCCAAAAATTCTGAGTCATTACCTCTTCCCCTTTGACCCCTGGAGAGAGGCAGCTGCATATGATCCGAATGGGAGGCTTTTGATTCTCGGTTGTGTGACTCTGAGGTGTGTGCCCAGCTGGAACTCACTCGGGATCCTTCCACAGTTTAAATTCAGGTAGAGGAGAGTGGGGGAAGAGTTGCTGATGAGGGGCTTCAGCCCTTGCCTGGCTGTGATCTGTCCAGCTAGTTGGGTGACCTTCTCATCCTCCAGTGCCCCTTTCTTTTGGTACTTCACTTGCATGGCATTAATTCCTCTCAAATAAAATGGGAGGAAGATAAATAAGAAGAAAATTATGGGCCTTATCATTTGCTGATCCTAATAGCAAAGAACTTTAAGACATTAAAGTTGGACTGACAAGCTTTGAAATGTGCCGTCTTACTTTTAAAATATTTAAAGATATTTAGACTAGTTTTTAAGACGTCAGCACAAGAACTTAACTGCAACTGGATGAGTGGCCACAGACTTTATTTTCTGGGGAACCAGAGAGCTGCCCTATTCCCGTTGCCCTAAGGTAGAGCCTCTGTCAACCCCAGCCTCCCCTCTATGCACACGCAGAGGAGTAGCTCTCCTCTTCCCAAAGCCACTGAAGAGATAGGAATCACTTCATTGTTTTGACAATTGTATCTGCCAGAAAGTGCCTCTTTTGCTGCCACACAGACCATTTTCTATTACTCTCCTATACTCTTTGGTCACAAAGATACAGCATCTTTAACAGGGGAGCTATCGATTGGCTGTAGTTCACGCTTGTATTATTGTTTGTTAAGGTTACCGTTTTCTTTTTTAAGGTGAATATGCACACGGGGTTGCCATACTGAGTAATTTGACGTTGAAAACCGTTTTACAAATACAGCTGCCTCATTAAAAAACGACCAAACACACCCAGCCAGGGGGGCTCCTGCCAACGCGGTCTTTTGTTTCTTGTTCCCAACAGTAAAGATTCCTCGCCCACTCTGGCTTCTAAAGTGGACCAACTGGAAGGAATGCTGAAGATGCTTCGGGAAGATCTGAAGAAGGTAAACGGCTCTTCTCAAAGCAGGTTGCCCGGTCTGTGCACACTGCCCCTGAACTGTAACACAACCGTTTTATGTCGTGTTATGGTATAAGATGTGGATGTTTTCCCTTTGTTCTCAGTACACACGTGTTTAAGGGGCTGTTTGGAGCTCAGTTCCTGCCGACACACATGGTGCAAGAAGGCCCTCACTGTCATATGTACAGAAAAGTTGTTCCCTTTTTTTGTGAAAGCCCTGGAACCTCAGCCAGCCGTCTCCCGGCCTCCCCATCCTTTGTATAATGTGTCAGTGGCCCAGACCCATATGTCATCCTTGTTATGTGGGCTTTCACATCAAGAGAACCGAGTGTTATTTGGTTTCTTGAGTGGCCTTGATTGTATTAAGACAGCAGCCACCAAAACAATAGTCTAAAATTTAAGACAGCCCTAATTAACAGAGACATCAAAATACACAGTAATGTATTTACATCCCAAAATAAACCTGGAGTGAATCTCTCTAGAAGTCCTGTTCCTGGGTCAGACTGTCTTAACGCCCAGTAGTACCGGGGCCTGTGGACAGCTGTCTGGTGGACTGAAGACTGGAAATGGGCAAAGGGTCCCAACAGGTCCATAGCTCCTCCTCCAGCAGCTGGGAGAGGTGGATCCGCCCCCTCAGTTCTTTCTGCTCTGCTCTACCTCCCAGGAAAAGGAAGACAAAGCCCACCTCCAGGCAGAAGTCCAGCACTTGCGAGAGGACAACCTGAGGCTGCAGGAGGAGTCCCAGAATGCCTCCGACAAGCTGAAGAAGTTCACAGAATGGGTCTTCAATACCATCGACATGAGCTAGGGCAGGCTGCGGCGGAGAGGAGAGAGGACCACAGGGAGTGCTCTCTGTGAGGCTGGAAGCCCCTTGGTCATGCCTTTGAAAGCGTCCTCAGCGCACCCTCCCCAGCTCCCTACTTCGCCCCCTTTTGGGGAGTGCACAACACAACAATTGCAGATCAACAATCATTATCTGCCTTTTGTAGAAAAGAGAAAAATGAAGTAAATAAAAATTTTAAAAAGTAAAATAAAAGTTTAACTGCTAAAATGTGAATGTCTTTATTTTTTTGCACAATATCTTTATCTGTTATGTATTTAAAAAGAAACTGGGCCTAGGACCAGGGTCCCCCCCGGCCCATCTGCCTCTATTTCCATCAGCTCTTTCTTATCTATTTCAGGTAACCCAAGCTTTCCCTGTTATCCTGACAAACATCATTGTTCCTGGGAAAATAAAGTTTTTAAAAGTTCTTTGGGGAGTGGGGAGGGGCATTTCCTTACCTTTGTTCCTCAAATGCCTGGGGAGGAAGGGCTTTCACAGAATGCCTACCTCCCTGGAATGACTTGTGCATGAGCTAGTGCTGTCTGTACCCATCCTGCAGAGGACCCGGGGTCATTAACTATAGCAAGTCAGTGAACCGGAGAGAGGCGGAGATGGTGCCTGCAGGCCATGCCCCTTGTAAGTCCTGCATTGTGACATCACTTCCTCCTCCTTCCTTTCCCCAGGGAGATGGTGCCAGGAGCTGTGCACTCCTCAGAGCTAGAGTCCTTTTTGTTTGGCTGACGTGGGTCCCACTAAATTCAAATCAGCCTCTCTACAGCTTCCTGGCTCCAAACACTGATTGGTTACAGAATTCCTCCATGTGAAATCTTATCTGTATGCGTTTTGGTCAAAAGTATAGTTTTTGAGATTTTTAAAGATGAAAATGTAGCAAAATTGTATTTTTAGCTCACTCAAAATGACTATATTAATAAACCCTTCTCTCCAAAGCAAGACTTCACCAGTATTTGTAACTAGGAAAAGTGAATGTTATATTGTGAATTTTCTTACTTGCTTATGAGGAGCAATGGCTGTGATAATAGAATGGGCTTTGAAACCTGCATGTCCCAGTGTGCCATTCCAGCACGGCATTTTCTGCATCCCTTTGTGGCCATCCAGAGGATTCTGCTGCAGAAACGACTGATGTGCTATTTTCCTGTCTAGTGATGCAGCTGCCTTGGGCCCCTGGCCATTGTTCCAAGGCCCTCAGTCATGCAGAGCACAGAGACACTGGGCCCACCCATGTTGAGGGACCCCAGGGAAGCCCCTGGTATCCTTGTTTCTTGCCTTCATGATTGCCACTAAACTGACACCTGCCCCTTCAGTGGCGACCCTGGTCTAAGGGGACATTCAGCAGCCTGGTGTCATCTACTCAGAAGTTGCTGCCCCAAGTAGTCTTAACTCATTCCTTTCTCCATCCCGGAAAGAAGTGGGATGGATTTTCCTCCTTCCCTCACCCCCACCCCCACCCCCAGAATTTTACGCTACACTTTCATTCATGATGGTGGTTTCCCCATGGTTTTTTTTTTTCTGGTGACATTTCTATCGTGGAAATAGGAAGATTTCGGAGTGCTTTGTAAAGATCTGATTGTCTCTTTCTCTCTTTGACTTGTATGAAGGAGATTGTACATTGCCTGATATCTCTTTGTAAATGAGAAATATCGCTGACATCCAAGCATTCTGAAGTCTTGCTTATCCTTCTGAGTTTAGTTTTTATTTTGTTTTACCTTTTGTTTGGGGACTTGGGGCAAGCTATTTATTAGAGTTTTGCAACAGAGTTCTTGTTGGAAGCCTTTAAAGACTACTTGTAAAGTTCAAACAATAAAATTCATTTTAAACGCTCTTTTAAAACACTTTGGTCTTATTGCTTGAGGTTTTCTTATTTGAAAGACCACCCAGCAACTCCTTGACCCCCCTCACCTCCTAACCTGCTATTGAGGCTCGGTTAACACTAAAGATGATTCTTGAAAGTTTCTGTCCCTTTTAGAATTTGAATAAGCTTTTTTACTCTCTGTCCACATGTCCATAGAGAATTCCTAATTTGGCTTCCCTGCTTATGATTTAATATTTGCAGAGCACTTTATAATTAGTCCCCTCTTCATTATCCATGTGTGGATTTTCCATAACAACATTGTCATTCCCTGAGACCAGCACATTTTTGGACTGCCTCTCCTGCGTCTCCCAACTCTCAATGTTAGATGTGTGCTCAGGGAATACAAATGCCTGTTAATATTAGGCTGTGCAAAATATAATTAGAAAAGTTAATCTACTGAAAAAAATCAATGCATTCTAAAGCCAAATGGAACCAAATTTTTTCAATCTACCACATCAGTGCTCTTCTCCAGTGGTGCAGCTAATTGAGAGCTGACGGTAGAGTGTCTTCCTGTTATTTGGTTCAACAGTTCTACAAATTCTAGAATTACAAGATGGAGTAAGACTGGATGCCACAAGATACTCTGATTAGCAAGCTAAAAGTTCTATTTTGACCTTGATTCTTACCTAGTTTGGAGGGTTTATACATTATTTCTGAAGGGCATGGACATGGATTGGGAGTTCCTGGGACAAGGTGCCATTGGCCTGCAATGATGGAGCATCTTCGTCCCAGAGGTGACTGGAAGGGCCGATGGGCTGCATGCCAAGTCTGCTGCAGGAGATAAACAGAGTGGGTTGAGTTGGGTTACTAACTCTCTAGATGGGGATAAAAATGGTAGTCCAAGGGCAAAGGATATAGGCCCAGTAAGCTTAAGCCATTTGCCTCTAGTTAAATGTAGAATGATGACCTGAACAGATCCCAAACTCATAGTAGATATGTTCCAGCAATTATGGTGCTGCCTCCCCAGAATGCACAAAATTGAGATTAAAGAGCAAGATGACACACTTGGTCAGAAGCTCACATAACCAGTAAAGATGAGCATTATTAAACGTGGACTGTGTTAGATTAAAGACTACATTGCAGAAACGTTGGATACTTTTCCCTGTATGGATTATGCCACTAACAACCTGCCCATGAGGAATCATCATCTGATAAAGACATTTGACTTAGGCTGGGAGTCACATCCCGTCCATGATGTAGCAGCTGTGTCTGGGTAAAATACCTAACCTCTTTGAGCTTGGTTCCCTCATCTGGTAAAATAGTAACAGCATCATATCTTGTTTTAAGGACTAAATGGGCTCATATGTGTAAAGCCAGTGACAGGGATTTTGTGGACAACAAACATGTCTTCCCCTCTCCTTGGTCTCCGATACGTTGAGGCTTTTATGTGTTTCTCTAGGAGGGAGTCCTGATGTAGCAATAGCAGAATGGGACGGGAGAGCCAGAATGAGCTCGCCCACTCTGCTTGATGTCGCTCAGGTGCTTTTAACCCTTTGCTATGTGTTTTAGATCAGTGACTCTCAAACTTGAGCTTCCTTCAGAATCACTGGGAGGATTTGTTAAAATACAGGGCACTGGACCACAGCCCCAGGACCTGTGACTTGGGTCTGGAATGGCAACTTAGTATTCAGATTTTCTACAAGCTCCCAGGTGATGAAGCGGGGCTTTTGAAGAATAGGGGTAGCAGGTGGATACGCATACCCATTAGTAATTAAAAGAAACTGACGCTACAGTGCAAGGTACTTAACCATGTCCGGACACCTGAGTAGTATTGTGACAGGCTAGCTGACCACAAAGCACCTTGCAGAGAGAAACAGGCTCAAACTATAGCTAAAGAGAGTTTATTTAGGTAAAAGAATTTTTTTTTTTTAATTTTTTACTAAAGGTAATTTAGAGGTCCCTTTACATGAATCTTTCTGCCACCTATTTTAAATTCCTACATTACCTGGATGGGACTGGAGTGTCCTCACCACCATTAATGGTATGAGACTGGTTACTAGGTCAGCAAGGAATGACCTTGGTGACCTTGGGGGGCTGATAGTTTGGATGGCAGTGCTGCTGAGGAACGCAGGGCCTGGGTGGCAATGGAAGGGCCCTTAGGCAGGCCCACAGTGTGTGCAAAGATTGGGAGACCCGGTTCCAGGCTGGGAGCACGGAACTCCAGTCACCGACTTCCAAATTCAGCCCAGCCTGTTCACCCCAAACTCCAAGAGCCCATCAAACCTCAAAGTTACTACACAAGCAGATTTCCCAACTGCACTCACGTCTGCCTCAAACTTAAGAAATCTTTACCTAGGGACCAGCCCCGCGGCCGAGTGATTGAGTTCGCGCACTCCACTTCGGAGCCCAGGGTTTCGCCAGTTTGAATCCTGAGTGCGGTCATGGCACAGCTCATTGAGCCATGCGGAGGCGGCGTCCCATATGCCACAGCTGAGGGACCCACAACTAAAAATACACAGCTATGTACAAGGGCCTTTGGGGAGAAAAAGGAAAAATAAAATCTTAAAAAAAAAAAAAAAGAAATCTTTACCTCAATCCTCATGCTGCAAACAGCCCATTTCATGCCACGGTCCAGAGAGAAGTAAAGCGTTGCTTATCCTCTCTATCCTTTAGATAAGCTGCAGCTCAAAGACTTAAAGACACTGGCTGTCTTTTCTGAGAAGATCATTACAGCTTTGTCTTTATTTTCTAACGCTTTGGCCCATTCTGGCTCTCCTTTCCGCAGATCCCCTGCCTCTCCCCAGTCCTGCCAGCTCCCTGAATTCCTTGTCAGATTAGCCTTTCCTGTCCTCCATCCTTGCAAATCCAACATTTCCTCTTGTCTTGCCTACATGCATCTGGGTCATCACACTTGCGACCCAAGAAAGCGTCCACCTTCCCCTTCTCTCATGATGCCTCTCATTATCCCCTTTTACCATGCTCGCCTTCAGTCCTGTGAACAGGCATATCTCGAATTTCCTTCCATTACTTCCTCTAAATGAGCACATCTCATTATGCCTCTTAAGCAGCTCCTCTGCCAGGCACAGCCCCACCTTAAACATATGCAACCCATTTTATCCTTCAATGTGTCCCCCTCAGGACCCATTTTCAACCTGAATCATCTCCCAGACAAAATACCCTAAGCCCTGGGTACCTTGCTCTTTATCTTAGCTAAATGTTTTCCTTAAGGGGTCTCATCACATGTTCAGGGGACATCTGTCATTCCCGTTCCTTAGCCAAAGTTCTTTGAAGTGGGCCCATCTCCCTACAAATCTTTTTCAGATCTTGTGAGCACACTCTTGAATCTCTAGTCAGTCCACCCAGCCACACCTCTCCTATGCATTTCTGTGATTCAGCATGTAAGAAAAGCATCACCAAAAAGGCTATCCACCAATAAAATCCAGCTCCCTTTGCAGAAGTATAAATGGCTTGGGAGGGTATGTGTTCTCCAGTTCAGCACGGACACCTCCACCCCCTAATGCCTTACATACTCCCAGCCCACCACACACATTTATGTAACCAGCTTGGTAGACATTTGAGTTGATGTCCTCGGGATCCCATCACCAAACCCAGGGGAGGCATTTCCTTCACCATCCCCGGACCCCCATCCTACACACACAGGCCCACCACACCCCATCCTCACCTACCCCGTATTCCGGGGAGTGAAAGCTCTTAGAAAACACATTTAAGAGAGAAGTTTTATTCAACTTTCAATAGCAAACTAGAAGTGACTAATCAAGTGGCCTGGAGGGGTCCTTTAGTCACTCACCTTTGTGAAGAGGTAGGATGGATTTGTAACTGACCTAGTAATTTTTCTAAGGAGCCTAAGGGGTATTCGAACACAGTTCTTTCTCTTAAGCAGCTTAAACATTGCTTTGCAATCTAAGACAATGAATATGCTTAGCAAGTCCTTTGTTTTAGTTGGTACAAAGGTAAACTCAGCGCAATGTAGACACATTTCTAATTAATGAGGCTATGCCTATTACAACAGGCACCATAATTGCTTAGTCTGGCTTAATACGAAAGATTCCCACTAGAGTAGGAGCTAGGACTTCATTTACAGGCACTGGGAACAAACAATTCTACCTCCAAAGAGAAAAGGCCTGGTTGGGGATAGGAGGGTTTGGGGGTATGGAGTTAGTGACCACCATCTTTAAGTATTTGACACACGGCAGCGTGAAGGAGAAACTAGCCTTGATCTTTGTGGTTCTAGAGGCAAAATTGAGACCAGTGGATGCAAGTTACAGGAAATAGATTTTGTCTCTGAGGTAGTTAATCAATGGAGATTGGGTGGTTTCCTGGGCTTGAAGCCAAGATCTAAGAGTCAGACCAGGCACCACTCTTCGAAGACGCCCTCCCTTCACCTTTTCCAGCAGACTCTGCTCTCTTTAAACAAACTTTGGAGTCATGAGTCACAGACTAAGTTGGAAAGGGACCTTTAAAATGATGCAGTTCTACCTCCCAGCCCAGGATTCAATCTCTTCTTCGTTGTCCAGCCACATGTTCAGCCACTTAGGTTTGAGCACATCCAATGATGGGGAATTCACTACTTCCAGAGGCAACACATTTTCTTTTTCAACTTCTCTCTGTCGCTCTCCTTTTTTTTTTTTTTTTTTGGTGAGGAAGATTGGCCCTGAGCTAACATCTGTTGCCAATCTTTCTCTTTTTGCTAGAGGAAGATTGCTGCTGAGCTAACATTTGTGCCAATCCTCCTCCACTTTGTATGTGGGATGACGCCACAGCATGGCTTGATGAGCAGTGTACAGGTCGGTGCCTGGGATCCAAACACATGAATCCCAGGCCGCCAGACCAGAGTGCGAGAACTTAACCACTACAACATCAGGCCAGCCCCTCAACTTCCTCTTAAGTCCTAACTTTTATTCATGGAAAAATCTATTTCCCTTTAATTTTTGTAACTACTCCTAGTCCTATCACTTCCAATTATACAAACAAATATGACTTTCTCTTCCCAGGTAATAGCCATCAATATGCTGGAAAATTTCAAGTTTTCCCAATGTGATTTCTTCCCCAGGATAAAAATTCTCCGTTCTCTCAGCTTTTCCTCATGCGTCACGGTTTCTCACCCCTTCTCCACCACAATATAGTCGTATACAGTATGTATTAAGGACATGATTGCTTTACGTGCGTTAGCTCATTGAGTTCTCACAACAGCCTTGTGAGGTGGGTGCTATTATTGTCCCTATTTTACAAAACAAGCAACAGAGGCCTAGAGAGGTCAAATAATTTGTTGACTGTTAAATAGCTGGTCCAGCTGGGAGTTAAACCCAGGCCTCTGATTCCCAAGCCAATATTTAATCTGTGCTTTCTCGGTCGTATTGGTCCCAACCTAAGGGTCCCCTGCATGGCCTGCTTGCATGGATCCTCGCCAAAGGGACCTGGATGGTGAGCATCGTGGATGCTGGGTCCTAAATGGGGTGGAGATGGGGGCCAGGGAAGACAAGTAAAAGTGTACCTGAAGGCCAGAGGACTAGGAGGAAACCACCTCTTCCGGGGACCCTTCGTGGAGATGGGACTTGAAAGTGCTTCAGCATTCTTTCTCACACGATATAGATGTTTTCCTTACGAGTTTCAATTCAAAAAACATCTCTGTCCAATCCTGGGCCAAATCTGGAGGTAAGAGAGGATTTGAGAAGCTCAAACCAATGGTTGCTAGGGTTGAGAATGCATCAGCACCACCTGGAGATGTCTTAATTCCTATCCCTGGACTGCAGGCTCAGAAGTTTGGTGTTAATAGGTCTGGGTGGAGCCATGGGATCTTCACTTTAATAAGCACCCCAAGTATTGTGACATAGATGGCTCCTGAACCGCTCTTCTAGAAACTTCACCTTAAGCTTTCAGAAGCCTTTGGCCAGCTCTTCTGGGCCAGGGAGTGCAGCATTAAGGCAAGGTGTTACAGGTGAAGGTATTATCTGGCTTGAGATACCCGGATGCCGTGCCATTCCTCGATTGGTGGAGAATGGCTGGCCCAGACCATCTGGCTGGCTGGGATTCTCTGCGAGAGAAGGGCGGAGTTACCTTTTGAGGAGCCATTTACTCAGTGGCTGATCATTCTCAGCCTTACTCCACCCTACACCCAGGTTTTCCTTTTTTTAACCAGAAGCATTTGTTTAGTGGGAGCCAGTTACAATCTTTGTGTCAAAACCAACACTCTTCCCTCCTTAGGATAAACTGCAACAATGTTAATTTTACACTCTGGTCTAATCAGACCTCATTACTGAGGTTGCTGTAATATCCTTCTACCAGTTCTGTATCCTCATCAGTGAGCAGATAGGAGTCATGGATTTCAAAGTCATGGATTTCAAAGTTTTCGGCAACTGAAAGACAAAGGAGAGACTTCCAGCTTATACTTCTAAGTCCATCTGTTGCAAAACCATGCCCAAGGTCCTTGTAGTCTGCTTGCTAAAGTAACAGACTGAGAAGAACAAAATGAGCCCAGCTTCCGAGTGTAAACCCCAGTAAAAGCCCAAATGCCTCCTGACCACCCTCCAAGGCTGCAGCCGGGCACCTGGAGTCAGTGGGCCTGGTCAGGCTCTCTTCCTTTAGCCAGTGTTCTGGTGATCTATGGCCACTTAAACGCCTTCATACTTAGTTGCTTAAAACAACCACCATTCTATTACACACAATTTCACAGGTCAGGAATCTGGGCAGGGCTCAGTTGAGTGATTCTCCTGCTCCATGGGGCATTAACTCGGGTGACTCAGTGGTATTCAGCTGGTTTGGTTTAGAGAGTCCCAGATGGCCTCACTCACATTCCTGGCCCCTCCGTGGTCGCAGTGGAAGCCTGGGTTTAGTGGGGCCCCTTCCTCTCTCTCTAGAGTCTCAGAGCTTCTCCATATGCTGTTTCTAGTGCAGTGCTTGGGTTTTTAACATGATACTCAACTCAGGGCTCCAAGAGACCAAGGTGGAAGCTGCCAGTCTTCTTAAAAGCTGGGTTCAGAAATGGCATAGTGTCAGTTCCCTCATGTTTTGTCAAGCCCAGAGTCAAGAGGAAGGAAAATAGACCTCACCTCTCAAGGAGAGACTGGTCAAAGAATTTACACTATTTTTAATATCCTGCAGTCAGCCTCTTCTCCTCTGGTCCCCACGTGATTGGCCCCATTCTCCCCTCACAGACCCCTAAATCCTTAATCAAGACTAGAATACCAGGTTCTGACTCAACGCGGCGATGTAGGAGGATCCTGAACTCACCTCCTCACACAGACACTCCGAATCTACAGCTACATATGTAACCATTTCCTCAGGAAAAAAAATCCAAGAACTAGCTGAGTGAGTTCTATACATCAGGCGAAAGAGAGAAAACCCCCGTGGAAGCCGGTAGAGAGGCTGAGACACAGTCTCACCATAAACCCCACCCCTGGCACAGTTATCTACAATCAGGAGGGAAGTCATAAGCCTGAGCTTCTCCCTGAGAAGTGAAGGGTTTGAACACCACATCTGGCACCTCAATTTTTAAGACCTGTACCTGAGACATGAGCCCCTGAAACACGTGGCTTTGGAAACCAGTGGGGCTTGCAACCATGTGATCCACAAGGCTGGAGTGAACTGAGAAACAGTCCTTAAAGGGCTTGTGTGCATGCACTCACCTCCCACACACACACCCAGGGCCCAGCGCAGGGGTAGGTGCATGAAAAGCACCCAGACTTTCTGTGAAATTATTTATTTGCTTGCCTTAAAGCTTCAGCTTGAGGAGCAGGCATCTAATCTAACACAAATCTGGGGAACTGCTGAAATACTCTCCACAGATGGAGGCTGGCAGGTGCCATCTTTGCGCTCTCCCTCTGCCTCACTCCAGCTAACTGCTATCTCCTGGAAAGGAACTTGTCCACTTATCTGATGCCCTAATTTTTGCAGCTGCCACCAGGGGATACTTCTAGATCAGCTGGCTCTGGTAGCCACAGGGGCTTATGCTCAAAGATGCCACAGAACTGTAACAAATGGTGAAAGAGTTCTTAATGGGTTACCATCCCCAGGGCATAGCAGAGAGGCAAAGATAGAGGAATCCAGTCTTTCTGTGAAAGAGGTCTAATAGCTTATCTTCATAGCACGGCCTGAGGGGCAGGCGTCCAATTGAACAGACATGTAAGGCCCAAGTGTAATCCTCTCCAGAGACCTCAGAGGGTGGGCAGTATTTTGTGCTCTTCCTCTGTTGGCCCCAGATTACTGGTATCTCCCAGATGAGAGCTTGTATATACATCTGGTGCCCTGGTTTTTACATCTGCTGCCCCAGTTTTTGTGACTGATGCCCAAGGGACACCCCTTGATCACCTAGCTTCGGTGGCCAGTAGGACTTGTGTTCACAAATGCACTGGGACAGTAGCAAAGAGAACCATTTCTTCACTAGCTGTCACCCCAGGGCTCAGCACAGCAGGAACAGACAGAAATGCCCATCTCCCAGTCTTCTCCTGAAAGAGGTATATTTGCATAATTTAAAAACTTCTGCCTGAGAATCTGGCTTCCAGTCAGCCTGAATCTAGGTGTTGACTGAAATCTCACCACTGGGACACTGACGGGTCTTGGCAAACCCTCAACTACTGAGAATCACTGAAAATAAAGTAGGCTGCTTGGACAATCACAAAGGTTTGAGAGACAACCAAGAGCTAGGGCAGGGTTGAATGATAATGTCCATCTCCTACATGAGGGCACTCCTTCAAGACTGGGAAAAGCAGCTGATTTATCTAATGCTTAGAAACCAACAGAGAGTCATGGAAAATGAAAAAACACAGGAATAGTTCCAAATGAAAGAACAAGGCAAAATCTCAAAAAAAAAAAAAAAAGACCTTAATGAAATGTAGATAAACGATTCACCTGAAAAAGTTCAAAATAATAGTCATAAAGATGCTCACTGAGCTCAGGAGAAGAATGAGTCAACAAACTGAGAACTTCAACAAAGAGACAGAAAATATAAGAAAGTACCAAATAGAAGTCATAGAGCTGAGAATGTAAAAATATGGGCTGGAAAATACCATAGAGAGGTTCAACAGCAGACTACAAAAGGAAGGAAAAAGGATCGGTGAACTTAAAAACAAGGCAATGAAACTCACCTAGAGCAGCAAAAGGAAAAAAGAATAAAAAAGAAAGAAGATAGCTTAAGGGACTAATGGGACAACATCAAGTGGACCAACATTCACATTATTTGGGGTCCCAGAAGGAGAAGAGAAAGAAAGGGCAGAAGATTTATTTGAAGAAATAATGGCTGAAAACTTCCCTAACCTGAGGAAGGAAAAAGACATCCAGATCCAGGAAGCCCAGAGAGTTCCCAAATAGATGAACCCAAAGAGACCCACACCAAGATGCATTATAATTAAAACATTGAAAGTTAAAGACAAGGAGAGAATCTTAAAAGTAGCAAGAGAAAGGGGCTGGCCCCGTGGCCGAGTGGTTAAGTTCGCGCGCTCCGCTGCAGGCGGCCCAGTGTTTCGTTGGTTCGAATCCTGGGTGTGGACATGGCACTGCTCATCAAACCACACTGAGGCAGCGTCCCACATACCACAACTAGAAGAACCCACAATGAGAAATATACAACTATGTACTGGGGGGCTTTGGGGAGAAAAAGGAAAAAATAAAATCTTTAAAAAAAAAAAAAAAGTAGCAAGAGAAAAACAATTTGTTACCTACGAGGGAGCTCCCAAAAGACTATCAGCAGATTTCTAAGAAGAAACTTCACAGGCCAGAAGGGAGTGGCATGATATATTCAAATCAAACTTCTGGAAATTTATCCAAAGAAAAGGAAAACACTAATTCGAAAAGATATCTGCATCCCCATGTTCACTGCAGCCCTGTTTATAACAGCCAAGACATGGAAGCAATCTAAGTATCCATCAACAAATGAATAAAAAAATGTGGTATATACAGATGTACGTGTATGCACGCATGCACACACACACACACACACACACACACACACTGGAATATTATTCAGCCATAAAAAAAGAATGAAATCTTGCCATTGGTGACAACATGGATGGACCTTACACACATTATGCTAGGTGAAATAAGTCAGACAGAAAAAGACAAATACCATATGATCTCTCTTATATTTGGAATCTAAAAACAAAACAAAACTGTGAATTAGATACAGAGAACAGATTGGTGGTTGTCGAAGGTGGGAGGGGGTGAGGTGGGTGAAATGGGTGAAGGGGGTCAAAAGGTACAAACTTCCAGTTATAAAATAAATAAGTGGGGATGGAATGCACAGCATGGTGACCATAGTTAATAACACCCTATTGCATATTTGAAAGTCGCTGAGAGTAAATCGTAAAAGTTCTCATCACAAGAAAAAAAATTGTAACTATGTATAGTGATGATATTAACCAGACTTGTGGTAATCGTTTTGCAATATATACAAATATTGAATCATTATGCTTATACACCTGAAACTACTATAATGTTATATGTCAATTTTATCTCAATTGAAAAAAAAAGGCTAGGATATCAGAAGTTTCTCCAGGAACCATAAGAAGCATGAACACTAATTTCACCTAAGGACAATCACCCCATTCCTCACGCGGCTGTAGGGGCGAGGGCAGGCCCTTTTCAACTTTCTGCCGGACAGTGAGGCCCCACTGCTCCTCACTCCTTTCACCCTCCCCCATCCACGTGTCTGAGGGTCACCATGCCATGAGCACTCCCTCCATTTTTCTCACTGGCTTGGCCTGAGTGCCATGGTGTGTCATCAGAGGAGACTGGCAGAGGAAGAGGACACTAACCTTCACCCCAGCCCTTCTTCCCACTAAGACCAAG